TTTTTTTGCAGTACGCAGGCCTCTCACTGTTGTGGCCTCTCCTGTTGCGGAGTACAGGCTCCGGACACACAGGCTCAGCGGCCATGGCTCACGGGCCCAGCCGCTGTGCGGCATGTGGGATCTTCCCAGACCGGGGCATGAACCCCCGTTCCCTGCATCGGCAGGCGGACTCTCAACCACTGCGCCACCAGGAAAGCCCTCAATAAAGACTTTAAAAATGATCCACATCAAAAAAAAAAAATCTTAAAAAATAAAATAAAATGAGCATAGATCTTGAGAGACATTTCTCTAAAGAAGATATGCAAATAAGCACATAAAAAGATACTCAACATCATTGGTGAACAGGGAAATGCAAATCAAAACCACGAGACACCGCAGAAATACAAAGGATCATAAGAGACTACTACAAACAACTATGTGCCAATAAAATGGACAACTTGGAAGAAATGGACAAATTCTTAGAAAGGTACAAGCTTCCAAGACTGAACCAGGAAGAAACAGAAAATATAAATAGACCAATCACAAGTAATGAAATTGAAACTTCAATTAAAAATCTTCCAACAAACAAAAGTCCAGGACCACATAGCTTCACAGGCAAATTCTATCAAACATTTGGAGAAGAGCTAACACCCATCCTTCTCAAACTCTTCCAAAAAATTGCAGAGGAAGGAACACTCCCAAACTCATTCTACAAAGCCACCATCACCCTGATACCCAAACCAGACAAAGATATCACAAAAAAAGAAAATTACAGGCCAATATCACTGATGAACATAGACGCAAAAATCCTCAACAAAATACTAGCAGACAGAATCCAACAACACATTAAAAGGATCATCCACCATGATCAGGTGGGATTTATCCCAGGGATGCAAGGATTCTTCAATATATGCAAATAAATCAATGTGATACACCATATTAACAAATTAAAGAATAAAAACCATATGATCATCTCATGAGATACAGAAAAAGCTTTTGACAAAATTCAACACCCATTTATGATAAAAACTCTCCAGAAAGTGGGCATAGAGGGAACCTACCTCAACATAATAAAGGCCATATACAACAAACCCACAGCAAACATCATTCTCAATGGTGAAAAACTGAAAGCATTTCCTCTAAGATCAGGAACAAGACAAGGATGTCCACTCTCGCCACTACTATTCAACATAGTTTTGGAAGTCCTAGCCACGGCAATCAGAGAAGAAAAAGAAAGAGAAGGAATCCAAATTGGAAAAGAGTAAGTAAAACAGTCACTGTTTGCAGATGACATGATACTATACATAGAGAATCCTAAAGATGCCACCAGAAAACTACTAGAGCTAATCAATGAATGTGGTAAAGCTGCAGGATACAAAATTAATGCACAGAAATCTCTTGCATTCCTATACACTAACAACAAAAGATCAGAAAGAGAAATTAAGGAAACAATCCCATTTACCACTGCAACAAAAAGAATAAAATACCTAGGAATAAGCCTACCTAAGGAGGTAAAGACCTGTACTCAGAAAACTATTAAGACACTGATGAAAGAAATCAAAAATGACACAAACAGAGAGATATACCATGTTCTTGGATTGGAAGAATAAATATTGTCAAAATAACTATACTACCCAAAGCAATCTACAGATTCAATGCAATCCCTATAAAATTACCAATGGCATTTTTCAGAGAATTAGAACAAAACATTTTACAATTTATATGGAAACACAAAAGACCCCGAATAGCCAAAGCAATCTTGAAAAAGAAAAACGGAGCTGGAAGAAACAGGCTCCCCGACTTCCAACTATACTACAAAGCTACAATAATCAAGACAGTATGGTACTGGCACAAAAACAGAAATATAGATCAATGGTACAGGATAGAAAGCCCAGAGATGAACCAACACACCTATGGTTACCTAATCTATGACAAAGTAGGCGAGACTATACAATGGAGAAAAGACAGTCTCTTCAATAAGTGGTGCTGGGAAAACTGGACAGCTACATGTAAAAGAATGAAATTAGAATACTCCCTAACACCATACACAAAAATAAACTCAAAATGGATTAAAGTCCTAAGTGTAAAACCAGACACTATAAAACTCTTAGAGGAAAACACAGGAAGAACACTCTTTGACATAAATCACAGCAAGATCTTTTTTGACCCACCTCCTAGAGTAATGACTATAAAAACAAAAATAAACAAATGGAACCTAATTAAACTTAAAGGCTTTTGCACAGCAAAGGAAACCATAAACGAGACAGAAAGACAACCCTCTGAAAGGGAGAAAATATTTGCAAACGAAGCAACTGACAAGGGATTAATCTCCAAAATATACTAACAGCTCATGAAGCTCAGTATCAAAAAAAACAAACAACCCAATCAAAAAATGGGCAGGGGCTTCCCTGGTGGCGCAGTGGTTGAGAGTCCGCCTGCCGATGCAGGGGACACGGGTTCGTGGCCTGTGCTCCGCAACGGGAGAGGCCACAACAGTGAGAGGCCCGCATACCACAAAAAAAAAAAAATGGGTGGAAGACCTAAATAGGCATTTCTCCAAAGAAGACATACAGATGGCCAAGAGGCACATAAAAAGACGCTCAACATCACTAATTATTAGAGAAATGCAGATCAAAACTACAATGGGGTATCACCTCACACCGGTCAGAATGGCCATTATCAAAAAATCTACAAACAGTAAATGCTGGAGAGGGTGTGGAGAAAAGGGAACTCTCTTGCTCTGTTGGTGGGAATGTAAATTGATACAGCCACTATGAAGAACAGTATGGAGGTTCCCTAAAAAACTAAAAATAGAACTACAGTACAACCCAACAATCCCACTACTGGACATATACCCTGAGAAAACCATAATCCAAAAAGACACATGCACCCCAATGTTCATTGCAGCACTACTTACAATAGACAGGACATGGAAGCAACATAAATGCCCATGAACAGATGCATGGATAAAGAAGATGTGGTACATATATACAGTGGAATATTACTCAGCCATAAAAAGGAACGAAATTGGGTCATTTGTAGAGATGTGGGTGGGCCTAGAATCTGTCATACAGAGTGAAGTAAGTCAGAAAGAGAAAAATATTGTATATTTTAATGCATATACATAGAATCTAGAAAAATGGTACTGATGAACCTATTTGCAGGGCAGGAACAGAGACGCAGATGTAGAGAATGGACGGATGTGTGGACATGGGCGGGGGGGCAAGGGGGGGTAGGATGAATTGGGAGATTGGGACTGACATATATACACTACCATGTGTAAAACAGATAGCTAGTGGGAACCTGCTATATAGTGCAGGGAGCTCAGCTCGGTGCTCTGTGGTGACCTAGATGGGTGGGATGGGGGTGGGTGGGTGGGAGGGAGGTCCAAGAGGGAGGGGATATATGTATACATATAGCTGATTCACTTCGTTGTACAACAAAAACTAACACAACATTGTAAAGCAATTATACCCCAATTAAAACACACACACACACACACACACACACACACACACACAATGAGATAGCACTTCACACCCACTAGGATAGCTATACTCAAAAAGACAAATAATAACAAGTGTCTGGGAGGACGCAGAGAAACTGAAACCCTCACCGAATGTTGGTGAAAATATAAAATGGTGCAGCCACTTTTGTAACAGTTTGGCAGTTCCTCAAAAGGTTAAACACAGAATTACCACATGACCCAACAATTCTACTTGTAGGTATAAACTCAAGAGAAATAAAAATATATGTCCAAACAAAAACTTATAAATGACTGTTCTTAGCAGCATTATTTATAATACTCAAAAGTTGAATATACTAACCATTGAATTGTACACTTTTTTTTTTCCTTTTTTTATGGCCACTCAGTACAGTTTATGGGATCTTAGTTCCCTGACCAGGGATCGAACCCGTGCCCCTGCAGTGGAAGCGCGGAGTCCTAACCACCGGACCACCAGGGAAATCCTGACTTGTACACTTTAAATGGGTGAATTCTGTGGTATGTGAATTATCTCAATAAAATTGTTATTTTTAAGAAGTGCTGAATAGTATATATGATATAGTATACATATATTTTTGTTCTTGCTGAAAGGAATATACATGTGTATACATATATATGTATGTGTGTATGTATATATATGGGTGCTTGTGTGTATATACACACACCCTTATTTAGATGCATATGTGTATAAAACATTTTTAGAAGTCTACAATAAAAACTGATACTGGAAATGGGATTAGGGGCTGGGAACCAAGAGGGAGGTTTTAAAATTTTTGACTTTTGGGTACTGTCTTATTTTTTGCCATATGCAATGTATGCCTAAGAGATGTTTGCTTGAGTATTCATGTATAAACACACACAGAAAAAAATATATATGAAGAGAAAGTTTGATCAAGTAAATATAGTGAAAGGGTAATAATTAGTGAAACTAGTTGGTGGGTTTATGGGTATTTATTTTATAGCTCATTCTACTTTCTGTATGTTTTAACTTTTTAATAGTTAAAATAATTGTAACAACTGAATATTCCATTTGAAATGCTAATGAAATTTCTTGGGTCAAAGTAATTTTGTAACTTTCAGGGGAACAATAAAGTTTACCTCTTTGAATTTCCACTTCTTTAGTTACAAACAAACTGGGAACTTCCCGATGAGCACCAAACCTGCTGGTCCCTAAAATTTTCTTAAGATTTGGCTTAGGCTTGGCAAATCTACTTCTCATTCTCAAATTATTGGTCACTTCTGAAGTTGTCCTAGAAAGAGATGGGAAGAAAGAGAAATTAATCAACTGTGTAAGAATTCTCTCAGGATTCTGTGTAAGAATCTGGACCATGTCTGTAAAACTGGGACTATATTTACATAAAACTGTTTCAATAATGCTTAAAACACCCATTGTGGTAATTTTAATATGCAAACCATTAAACTAAAATCAAAATCTGCTAAACCTTACTTTAAAGGGTGAAAAATTAGCACTGCCCACCTTACATTTATTTGTTACTCAAAGCTATTGGCCAAATTGATGGTTGGTTTATATATATTTATTAATTGAACACTAATTTATTTTGTAAAACTCAAAAAACAATAATAGTTTAATAAAGCAAAATAAACCTGGACGATATAGAGTTTTCCTTTACTTCTTCCATTAAACCAATTTCTTCTTTAATACTTTGTTCATCCAATATAATCTTGTTTTCTTCTACTGATGGAGATGCACTACGGATAGGTGAAGAAGGTTCCTGACATTCATGAACAATTTTGAGATTTGTATTATCTGGGCAAAAAGGAATATGGCTTTTATCGTTTGAATGAACATCAGGAAGTACACATACTCCTATTGCAGAAAAAAACAGAAAATTAAAATTGACCAAATACAAACAGATGTCCAAATAAATCCTTCAACATGCAGCAACGGTAAAATTCTATGTTATTTTTATTTTATTTTATTTTTTTTTTCTGGCCACACCACGTGGCATGCAGGATTTTAGTTCTCCAACCAGGGATTGAACCCGTGCCCTCTTCAGTGGAAGCGGGGAGTCTTAACCACTGGACCGCCAGGGAATTCCCTAATTTTTTTTTTTTTGAGTAAACAATGTGTTAAAGATTTATTCAGTTCATTAGGAGAGGACTAGCAGAATGATAAAATGGGTAAAACACATTTGAGAAACTATCTATGTTATTTTTAAAGTCTGCTCTTTTTGGCTCCAAGTTTAAATTTATGACCTCATATTTCATGCCAGAGATTTGACATGTGCTAAGTTTAATAATTCTTATAGACTGAAACTTTTCTGTTATTATAATTAAAAATAAATCTTTTTGTTACTTTCAGTAACTATATAACCTCAGATGAATTTCCAGATAGGATTATCTTCATTTATAATTTTTTAAAACCTGTATTTTACATTCTAGATATTTGTGACAGGCTACAATGCGATACTCTGCCATTGAAAAAGGAGCCCTATAGGGAACACAAATCAGAGACTTTCCTGATAAATATATAGTTATGGGCCAAGAAATCTGACACTTAAAACAAATGGCAGGTCACTCATCAGCAGTTAAAATGATTAACAGGATTATAAGTAACATGATTATCCATTTAATGTAAAGTAGAAGGTACTTTGATAGTAAAGGCCATAAGCCGAAAATAAAATACTAAGAGTCTGGGTTGACATATTTTTTGGCTCAGTCCAAACTAACAGAATAGTCTAAACTAAATTATCTCAGTAACTAATATTGCCCCTTCATACTGTATTTGACTGTCATGTAATTGTGAAGACTATCTAAAGCAGTGGCTCCTTCACTAAAGAAACATGTGTGAAGAGATCAGTGGTCAAGGAGTTCAGTTAACCAATGATGTTTATGATGATAGAGGCAGAGGATTCACTAGATTAACTATTCTACAAATACAAATTATCCTTAATAAACCCAGTGCACTATATGGAAATGGAGGCCATTAGAGGGCTAAGTAAGTAGTAAGTAGGATCGATCAATGCATACATATTACCTTTTCTGGAAAAATAACACAGTGATACCAACTTCAAACGTAAAAGGCAGATATTCACTTAATATTCAAATATGGGTATATTTCTTAAAAGTTGGATTTTAAAGGTTTCTTTTTTTGGTAGGACTTATCTTTTACTCTTACCATCACTCTGTTCTGTACTGATCTCTGACTGCAACACCAGACCTCCCATTGTAAGTAAAGTTATGGCAGCTTCAGTGCTTCCATCATTGGTACCTTGTGAAAAAAACCAGATCAACATTAAAATAGAAAAATGAATCGGGAAATTTATGTTTGGTTGCTTAGAAAAGAATTTTAATTTAGGTGTTTATCCTCTAGTAACAAGTTTCAAAACCCTCCATACCACTAACCCCTTACTAGGGTAGTGTTTCATTCAGCTTATATACTATAAATAGAGCATCAACTGCTGACTTTTACTCACTGAAAATGCCTCCTTCTTGTTAAATAACTTAATACCTTCAAAGGAAAGACATCTGTGCAAATCAGAGAAAATAAATACTTCTTTATCAAACATGTAATCACTCTCTAAAGTAGCATTCCAAGAACCCAAATTTCTCCTGGAGATAACATATTCAAACTGCTGGATCTTTTCATTCAATTCTCCAGCAAACTGACTCATTTACTAATTACCACCACTATTAAATCACTCTGTTCGTTGGTGTTAACCAAGTATTTTTAGCTGTTTCCTTATTAACAGTTACCTGTTTCAGCTTGGGAATGTTCACCTGTGGTCATTTCCTAAAAGAGGAAAAGAAAAGTAATAGCTTAGGTATTTTCCCAAACACATGTTCCATATCTCAAAGCACTACATTTTACAGGTCTTTCTATGCTTTTGGTTACAGTGGAGTGGAAATTTATAATTACTCATAGAATTTCATAAACAAGAACAGAAATCATTTAAAAGCCAAATATTTTCATCTCTTGCTCCTTCTTTTACCTTTTGCTTGTATTATATGCAAATTTTAATTGTGAGCATATGCAACAAGCATCTGCCTTTCTTACTTCTTCAATTTCATAATCCTTCAACTTTAGTCACATCTGCTGCTAGTTTTGACTCAATGGAAACCAAGGTCTGAACAATATCACAAGTTTTTTACACTACTAGGTGGCTTAAAAATTAAATGAATTTTAATAAATTAAGAAGTTATAGGATCTATGTCCAGCATGACAGCATGAGGAGCTCTGCTGACCCTCTCCCCAATGAAACTGGTAAAATTTATTAAAGAACCACCATTTAAAGCCTCTGGAAATGGTCCTAAGGGCGTAAGATGCACATATATTCGATAAAATTGTTGAAAATTCAGTAACAAAGGTGAAAGTCTGTGGTATTTGAGCTAAGACTGCTCTCTCCCTCCTTCCAGCTCAGTGAGGTAGACTCCACCTCAGACTGCTGCGGCCAAGAAAACAGGGTCCCTTCTCCCTGAAGGCCCCATTTGGAGGGCTTTCAGCTCCTAATACCACAAGAACCTGGTGTCAGATTCATCAGAGATAATAGGCCAGTATCTATTATGAATATGGACAAAAGAATCCTCAATAAAATACTAGCAAACTGAATCCAACAACATATAAAAATTATATGCCATGGGGACTTCCCTGGTGGTCCAGTGGTAAAGAATCCACCTTCCAATGCAGGGGACGGGGGTTCGATCCCTGGCCAGGGAACTAAGATCCCACATTTCGCAGGGCAACTAAGACCGCGTGCCACAACTACTGGGCTCACGTGCCTCAACAAGAGAGTCCCCGTGCCACAAACTATGGAGCCCACGCACCTTGGAGCCCATGTGCCACAACGAAGACCTGACACAGCCAAAAAATAAAGAAAATAAATAAATATCCAAAAAAAAAATTATATGCCATGACTAAGTAGAATTTATCCCAGGGATGCAACTTTTGGTTTAACATCCAAAATTCAATCAATGTAATACATCATATCAATACAATAAAAGACAATTACATGATCATCTCAAGAGATGCAGAAAAAGCATATGACAAATTCCAACACTCTTTCATGATAAAACACTCACACAAACTAGGAACAGAATGGAACTTTTTCAATTTGAAAAAGGGCATCTATGAAAAAAACCACATCTAACATCAAACTTAATGATGAAAGACTGGATGCTTTCCCCTACTTTTATTCAACATTGTACTGGAGTTCTAGACAGGGTAATTAGGCAAGAAAAGAAATAAAAGACATCCAGACTGGAATGTGTTATAAACTGAATTATGTCTTTCAGAAAGATATGTTGAAGTCTTAACCCCCAGTACTGTGAAGGTGACCTTATTTGGAAATAGGGTCTTCCTAGGTGTCATCAAGTGAAGATGAGGTTATAGTGGATTAGAGTTAGCCTTACTCCAATAAGACTGGTGTCCTTATAAGAAAAGAAACACAGACACGCATACAGGGACAACACCATGTGGCAATGGAGGCAAAGGTTGGACTTGTGTTGCCACAAGCCAACGAATGACAAGGAATGCCAGCAAGTGCCAGAAGGTAAGAGAAAGGCCCAAGATGATTTCTACCTCAGAGCCACCAGAAGCACCCATCACCAGGGGCATCTTGATTTTGGAATTCTAGCCTCTAGAACTATGACAGAATAAATTTCTGTGGTTTTAAGCCACCCAGTTCGTGGTACTTTGTTACAGCAGCCCTACAAAAGTAATACAGAAAGACAGAAGTAAAACTATCTCTATTCACATATGCCATGATCTTATATGTAGAAAATCCTAAGGAATCCACTAAACTATTAGAACTAATAAATGAGTCCAGCAAAGTTGCAGGACACAAGGCCAATATACAAAAATCAAATGTATTCCTATAAACTTGCAATAAACAAACCAAAAATGAAATTAAGGAAACAATTCCATTCAAAATAGCATCAAAAACAACAATATACTTGAAAATGAAGTTAAGGAAATGCAAAGCTCATACTCTGAAAACTACAAAACACTGTTGAAAGAAATCAAAGAAAAGCTAAGTAAATGGGAAAATATCCCATGTTCATTGACTGAAAGACTCAAACATTGTTAAGACGGCAACACCTGCTCCCCCAACTAATCTACAGATTCAATGCAATCCCAACCAGAATCTCAGCTGATGTCTTTGTAGAAACTGACAAGTTGATTTCAAAATTCATATGGAATTGCAAGGGACCCATGATAGCCAAAACAATCCTAAAAACAGAATAAAATAGGATGACTTACACTTATTAATTCCAAAACTTATTACAAAGCAACAAATCAATAGAGCCTCACCAGCATAAAGACAGACAAATAAATCAATGGAAAAGAATTGAGAGTCTACATATCTGCAGCCAACGAATTTTTGACAAAAATAAAAGACAATTCAATAGGGAAAGAACAGTTTTTTCAAAGAAATGGTGCAACAACTAGATAGTCATATGCAAAAGAATGAAGTGGGACTCTAATCTCACACCATATAAAAAATTAACTCAAAATGGGGAGAATTCCCTGGCAGTCCAACAGTTGGCGCTTGGTGCTTCCACTGCTGGGGGCCCGGGTTCAATCCCTGGTCGGAGAACTAAGATCCCGCAAGCTGTGTGGCGTGGCCAAAAAAAAAAAAAATTAACTCAAAATGGATTAAAGACTTAAATGTAAAACAGGAGTAAATCTTCAGGACCTTGGCTTTGGGAAAGGATTCTTAGGTATGACAACAAAAGCATGAGCAACAAAAGAAAAAAATAGATAACTGAAGTCCAAGTACTCTAAAGCAGTGGTCCGCAACCTTTATGGCACCAGGGACCGGTTTCGTGGAAGACAATTTTTCCATGGATGGGGGAGGAGGGCGGATGGTTCAGGTGGTAATGAAAGTGATGGGGAGAGATGGGGAGCGGCAGGTGAAGCTTCACTCGCTCACCTCCTGCTGTGCGGCCCGGTTCCTAACAGGCCGTGGACCTGTACCAGTCCGCAGACCTGTACCAGTCCACGGCCCAGGGGTTGGGGACCCCTGCTCTAAAGGAAACCATCAAGAAAATGAAAAGAGAACCCACAGAATGTGAGAAAATATCTGAAAATCACATATACGATTAGGAGCTTGTATCCAGAATATAAAAAAATTCTCACAACTCAATTAAAAAAAGACAAATAGACCAAAAAAATTTTTAAATGGGCAAAGACTCAAAATAGATGTTTCTCCAAAGAAGACACAAAAATGGCCAATAAAAGCATGTGAAAAGATGCTCAACATCATTAATCAATAGGGAATGCAAATCAAAACCATAATGAGGTACCATTTCACACCTACTAGGATGGTTAGATCCAAAAAACCAAATAAATATTGTCAGGATGTGAAGAAATTGGAACCCTCATACACTGCTGGTGGGAATATAAAATGGTGCAGCAGCTTTGGAAAGCAGTTTGCTAGTTCCTCAAAGGATTAAACAAAGTTACCACATGACACAGCAATTATACTCCTAGAAAGGTACCCAAGAGAAATGAAAACATATGTCCATACAGAAACTTGTACACAACTGTTTATAGCAGCATTACTTATAATGGCCAAAAGATGGAAACAACCTATATGTCCATGAACAGATGAATGAATAAAGGAAATGTAGCATATTCATATGGAATATGATTTGACCACAAAGAGGAATGAAGTACTGATACATGCTACAACATGAATGAACCTTGAAAACACTAGACTAAGTGAAAGAAACCAGGCACAAAGAACCATACTGTGTGTATATCTCCAGAATAGAGAAATCTATAGAGACAAAAAGTAGATCATTGGTTGCCTAGGCCTGGGGAAGGCTGGAAGGAAATAGGGGAACAACTGCCACTGGGCATAAGACTTCTTTCTGAGGTGATGGAAATGTTCTAAAATTGTGCATATAGCTGTAAATACACTAAAAGCCATTGAATTATATACTTTAAATGGATAAATTGTATAGTGTATGAATTGTATCTTAATAAAACTGCTTTTGAAAAAGTTGTAACTCTTCATTTACAAAAACAAGATAAATACCAACTAAATAAGGAAGAGTGCCAAGCAAAAGGCAACTAAATACGTTTTAAATAATTTACATTTAGTATATATTTAATGCATCAGAATTTTAACATAAGTCTATGAAGATATTGAGCTACGCCCACACACAGGAATCTATGCTTTTCAAGTCAAATATAAAAATCTATGAATTATTCACTAGTTTCTAACATTCATACTTACAGCTCCTAGAAATAATAGAATAATTTCTATCATACTAGTTAAGAACCATCTGTAAACCTAAAGCTTTCAAAATAAACTTAGTCTTTTGAAAGTAAACAAAGAATTAAAGACAAAACATATTAAAATGGATGCTTACAATTGATAATGCGTTCAGATTTTCTTCTTGTTTCATTTCCTCAGTAGTCAAATCTATGTTTGATGAGAGCTGATGTTCAACAACAGCTATGCATCCTACATCTGGGATATTCATGGGTATTTCAAGCTGTCAAAATGAAAAGTTTCATTATTTCATTTTGGCATACCATCACAGAAAAACAAAATGAATCATAAAATAAAATATTAAACTGAAGAAAGAATTCACATTTATACATGATTTAAAAAACTGAAATATAGTAATTCTTAAACTGATTGACATCAACTGGGCAAAAGTGAAACATTTAATGTTTTTGAGGCGTCTGTGATTCCTACAAACAATAAGCAAAACTTCCAGAGCTAATCTACTTAGTACCTAGCATTGCATTTTCCATTATCCCCAGTTTGTCCCAAATTTCCCCCAGTTTCTCTCATCAGTCTGTCAACATTTATGAAATGCTTCCTAAAAACTAGAGGGCTACAGGTACAAGAATACAAAGCTCAATAAGACAAGTCGGTCCCTGCCTGCAAGGAACTCACAATCTAAGAAACACAGACATGTAATCAACTATACACTGCTCCAAGTGCTATCATAGAGATGAGTTGAAAGCACTTAAAAAGATTTATCATACACATGACCCACCAAGGCAATGACTCCCACAACCCCAAAACCTGTATGATTCTTCATAGCGATGAATGGCCATGTAAAATAACGAGTCCAACTCACATTTACTCTTCATTTAGCAGGCTTATTTCAAAGATCCCTACAGTCTGGGGGTTAAAAACACTAAAATTTATCTCCTAGACTATAAACAAGGGAGTCTGGCTTCTATTCCCTTATTAACAGAGAGATGAGTATAAAAGACTGTGATTCAGTAGAAACTGAGCAGTCAAGTTTGAAAATCTACCTTTGAGACATTTATTATAGTAACACCTATGTGTTCTGTGTCTGTCTGCTCAGATGCAATTAGAGAAAAATCTTTGCTAATATCCTATAGGCCTGGGATGAATTTTAAAAGTTCGAGTGATTTGAAAAGACAAAATATTTTCTGAAAAGCTGGGATTGGGGACATAATGGGAATATTCTAGGTAACTGAAAGTTGGTTCTGTAAGCACTACACAGTTTCAAAGCTTTATCTTTTTAACAGCTTTATCTAGATATAATTTACATTCCATACAATTCACCCATTTAAATTGTATAATTCAATGTTTTTTGGTGATGGAAGCACAGATACATGCAACCATCAACATAGTTACTTTTAGAACATTTTCATCACTTCAAAAAAGAAACCCTATACCTACTCCTTTAACTCCTCATCTCCAAATCTCTAAGCAACCATTGATCTACTTTCTGTCTCTATAGATTTTCCTATTTTGGACATTTCATATTAATGGAATCATATGTGATTTTTTTGTTAACTGGTTTATTTCACTTAGCATAATGTTTTCAAGGTTCATGTTGAAGTATATATCAATATTTTAGATCCCTTTATGATTTAATAATATGCCATTGCATTTCAACGCTTTTTAAAGGGGACATTTTCTAACAAATAAACAAATTTCCCTGCCTTAGTAAACTGGCCATTAAGAATACAATTTAAGCTTTCCTTGCTCAATTATTATAATCAATGCTGTTTAAGAAGGCATTCTGTGGGGCTTCCCTGGTGGCATAGTGGTTAAGAATCCGCTTGCCAATGCCAGGGGACACAGGTTCAAGCCCTGGTCCGGGAAGATCCCACATGCCGCGGAGCCACTAAGCCCATGTGCCACAACTACTGAGCCTGTGCTCTAGGGTCCGTGTGCCACAGCTACTGAGGCCACGTGCCACAGCTACTGAAGCCCATGTGCCTAGAGCCCGTTCTCCACAGCAAGAGAAGCCACTGCAATGAGAAGCCCGCGCACCGCAACAAAGAGTAGCTCCCGCTCTCCGCAACTAGAGAAATCCCGCGCACAGCAACGAAGACCCAACACAGCCTAAATAAATAAAATAAATTTTTTAAAAAAGGAAGGCATTCTGTATTAATTCAGGGATATATCCTAGAACCTGATTTTCAGAAGTTAATTTCTAGTATTAGTTTTCACGAGCAATTTGCCTTTCACCCAAAGAAATTGTAAAATACAAAACATAAAGCTAAATGAATTTTCATGCAGTGGTAACCAGCCGTCCTTGCACAAAATTAACTTTCCTTTTACCTTTTCTTGGTTTCAACCAAAATTTAAATTCATTATCTTTACTTTGAACTTTAATTACAAGAAACCACTTCACATCATTTTTATTTAGCTTCAACCATTCCAACTAACTTTATAACATTTAGCATGGTATTATTAACAATGAATAAAAAAAGGTGAGTTTGGAATTCTATTTGTAATTCAAATGGCTTTAGAATCTACCATGAATACAAAACTGATTCAGATATGATGCTCTATAAGCAAAATAAGTTACTGAAAATTGAGGCAGAACAGAAAACTTTGAAGTTACAAAGTTAGACCAAGAGGCAAAAGAATAAGGAGCTTTCATAATAAAGTAAGTTGACAGGCTTCCCTGGTGGCGCAGTGGTTGAGAGTCCGCCTGCCGATGCAGGGGACACGGGTTCGTGCCCCGGTCCGGGAAGATCCCACGTGCCGCAAAGCGGCTTGGGCCCGTGAGCCATGGCCGCTGAGCCTGCGCGTCTGGAGCCTGTGCTCCGCAACAGGAGAGGCCGCAACAGGAGAGGCCACAACAGTGAGAGGCCCGCGTACCGCAAAAAAAAAAAAAAAGTAAGTTGAAGTAATATGTTCCTCTACCTCAAATCCATTAGGATGACTACTATCAAAAAGAAAAAAAAAAAACAGAAAAAACAAGTGTTAGTAAGGATGTGGAGACATTAGAACCCTTGTACACTATTGATAAGATGGCAGAATAAGGCAGCTGCTATGGAAAACAGTATGGGGGTTGCTCAAAAAATTAAACATTGATTTACAATTTACTATATTATCCAGCATTTCCACTTGCAGAATTGACAGCAGGGATTAGAAGGGATATTTGTATACCCATGTACATAGCAGTGTTCTTCATAATAGCCAAAAGTTGGAAGCAACCCAACTGGCCACTGACAGAAGAATAAACAAAATGTGGTACTGTATATACTGAACGGAATATTATTTAGCCCTTAAAAAGGACATCCTGGACTTCCCTGGTGGCACAGTGGTTAAGAATCTGCCTGCCAATGCAGGGGACACAGGTTCAATCCCTGGTCTGGGAAGATTCCACATGCCGCAGAGCAACTAAGCCCGTGCACCACAATTACTGAGCCTGCGCTCTACAGCCCATGAGCCACAACTACTGAGCCCGTGCACTACAACTACTGAAGCCCATGCACCCTAGAGCCCACGCACCAAAACTGAGCACATGTGCTGCAACTATCAAAGCCTGCGCGCCTAGAGCCCGTGCTCCACAAGAGAAGCCACCGCAATGAGAAGCCCGCACACTGCCACAAGAGTAGCCCCTGCTCACTGCAACTAGAGAAAGCCCGTGTGCAGCCAGAAGAAGACCCAATGCAGCCAGAAAAAAAAAAAAAAAGAGACATCCTGACATATGCTACAGTATAGATGAACCTTGAAAGCATTATGCTCAGTGAAATAAGCCAGTCACAAAAAGGACAAACGCTGTATGATTCCACTTACATGAGGGACTTAGAGTAAGTGGTTGCCACAGGCTAGAGAGGAGGGAATAATCAGAATTATTGTTTAATAGGTACAGAGTTGTAGTTTTTCAAGATGAAAAAAAGTTCTGTGGATGGATGCACTTAATGCCACTGAACTGTAGGCTCTAAAATGGCTAAGACAGTAAATTTTATGTTACCTGTAATTTACCACAATTAAAAAAAGAGAGCGGGCTTCCCTGGTGGCTCAGTGGTTAAGAATCCACCTGCCAATGCAAGGGATGCAGGTTCAAGACCAGATCCGGGAAGATCCCACATGCCGAGGAGCAACTGGGCCCGTGCGCAACAACTACTGAGCCTGCGCTCTAGAGCCCGCGCACCTAGAGCCCGTGCTCCACAACGAGAGAAGCCACCGCAATGAGAAGCCCGCGCACTGCAATGAAGACCCAACGCAGCCAAAAATAAAGTAAACAAAATAAATAAATTTATTTTAAAAAAAGAGACAGAGAGAAAGAGAAAGAAATATGTCCCTTCTACCTTCTCTACCAACCAGAGCTTAACTTGAGCTTACCACAAAGAGTTAATAGAAAACATCTGCCAAGTTTTTTGTTTTTTTTAAAAATTAACCAGAAAGGAGATTAAGTAGCCCCCAGATACAAGTGAAATTAGATTTCTCTCAGTATTGTTATACTGATTACCTTGTGCTGGGCCTGGGTTGCAGGGGCTGAGTAAACACAGATCACACAAGCCTATTTCTACTGATTTCCTAGGCTATGCAGCAGGCCCCAAACAAATTACTCTAATAATCTTCAAATCCTAATAATCACTAAGAGAAGAGATAATGATCCACTGAAAGCAAAAAACAAGTAAGATAAAGTTCCAAGGATTCAAAATTCAAACTACCTCTTCCATGGTTTCTTCAATCTGAGCAGAAACCGGTTCAGGAGATCTGAGACCAACAGGTACAAACACTGGAGCTTTGTTTACTTCTTCTGGAGCAAGATGATAGCTTTCTTCTTCATAGTCAGACTCAAAGTCTTCCGCATCATCTTCGTCTTCTTCCTGGGAAGCTCGAAGAGTCACCAGCACAGGCTTAGAAGCTCTAGGTTCCTTCTTAGAGGTCTTACTCCGAATTCGTTTTGATCCACGCCCTTTGGGGACGTTTGGTTTAATCTTTCGACGCATTCTCCTTTCACTACGATCTATCTTACATTCAGAGGCAGAAGAGAGAGCTGTTCTTCGATCCACAGCAATTTTAGAATAATTTGATTCTTTTAACAGTTGTGGAGAGCTGGAGGTTTAATCAAAATAGCGACATAGTCATTACATGCATAAGGATAATTTTAATGAAAACCCAACTTATAAAGTGAAATCTCAATTCAAGCCATTAATATAAAATGCCTGCCACCCATTCTATCAAACACTAATGCTACGACAAGAATGAACGGAATTTACTGTTAGGATTTAGTTTCTCACTCAAAGTTAAACATTAGTTATCTACCTACAAATTTTTCACAGTAAGTTTTAAATTCTGAGCCATTTTTCCCCCTTGCTATTTAAGTGGTGATGAAATACAACACTGGAAATTGTTAGAAGAAAATGGGATCAAGAACACTGGACCAATAAATACAGAATATGAGACCAAAAAGTGATACTGTTTATCCTATTGGGTAAACAGATTAGGTCAAAAGAAAAAAGGAGAATGAGGAAATCCAACAGAACAACATTTTTTAGAACTTAGGGTCCCTTCCACTTTCCTTGAAAACTGTGGAAGAAAGGTACCCTTCACTTGTGTTTGTGACTCCAATTTGAATCAGCACCCTAGTTATTTAGGTAATATGTACTACTCTTTCGTCAGGCTTCTGCTCATGTCTAATATACTCAACACCCAGAAATTTTAAATGTAGGAAAGAAAAATCTTTCTGAGAAGATCATAAAAAAAGGAAATTTTAGTAAATAAAAATCAAAAGTGGGAAAGAAACAGACCTGCCAATAAAAAACAACCAATACTTCTGCTAACAAACCATCTTTTTACCCTATCAATAAGTTAGAGTAGGACATCCATTAAGAATAAGTTACTTGTATTTACTATTCTGAAAGTACTTGTTAAATAAAACTTTACCTTGCTGGTTTACTGACATACTGCTCTTCGACAACTGAACACATAGAATTATTGCCTACGGTTTTCTCTCCAACACTTCCTGATGGTCCAACTTCTGATTGAGCATCTTTTTTTGCCAAACCAATCTCCTTGGAACCTACAGAACCTTTTCTTGCTGAAATCTCCAGAGATGTCAGAAACTCAGCTTTTCCCTTAAATTTGAGAAGAAACAATTAATATTACCATGGAAACAACCTGTATGGTAATTTGGTTTGGTAGTTTGGCCTAAAATGCTAAGCTTACACACATATACACAAGTGACTGGTTTCTAAACTTTCATAATATTGGAAAGTCAATCAATTTTCATGAAAATAGTTATAGTACAAAAGGCAAAACTATTTTATTAATGTTCTCCTTCATGATATTGATAAAATAGAGCCCACTACTAAATTATTTTTTTCAAACTTACTTTTGGAAGAAGCTGGGTGTCAGAATCTCCATGCTGCAGCAAATTATCTTCTGGCTTCCTTGCCTTACTCTGATCTGCTCTGTCTGTTCCTATGCCTGATTCCTCTTTCTTACCTTGTGCTCTTCCCAAATATGGCTTAGCCTTTTGGAATTGGCTTCTTATCATTTGTGGTGGACTAGAAACATACGTTTTATGTTCATGTCTAGAATGAAATACAAATCATGTTGAAGAACGAAAATCAGAATTCCTGTTGATGTATCTGCTGTTAAACAATTTTTGGGCACAAACCAATTCTATGTGCGAAGGACTATATATAAATAGGCTATAAAACTAAACATATAAAATGAAACCACACATGCTGATATGAAAGAAAGAACATAGAAGCTTTTATAACTTCCATTTTCTATATAGCCTGCGGAATACTTTCACAATAATATTTAATCGTTTTTTTACTTTCATTCATTGATTCTGGTATGTCGTTGTATGCTACTTTAAGTAATTTTCAGAGAAATAACTAGATACAAAACAAAAATGTCAATAGTTGAAGATGGACTTCATAATGACACTTTAAACAAATGCTTCAACTGGGCTCTGAAGCATGAATAAATATACAATGGTCACAACAACCCTGGTCCTTCTAGTTCAAGAGCAGGCTTGAAAGCTAGAGTCTGTTCTCCTACCACATGCCTGTCACTTCATAGAAAAGGGTTTATTGACAACAGTGTCATAAGGATCTCAATATAACCCATTTGTATCTGCCAAATCAGAGAAAGACAAGGTTTTAACATTCAATACAGTAGCCATAGCTCCCAAGGCAACACAAACAGCTGCCTTAAGGTTTCCTGGAAAATATTTAATAACTGGCAAGTATCTGAATTAGCAAGTTTAAAACTAATATAGGGGCTTCCCTGGTGGCGCAGTGGTTGAGAGTCCGCCTGCCAATGCAGGGGACGCAGGTTCATGCCCCGGTTTGGGAGGATCCCACGTGCTGCGGAGCGGCTGGGCCCGTGAGCCATGGCCGCTGAGCCTGCGCGTCTGGAACCTGTGCTCCGCAACGGGAGAGGCCACAGCAGTGAGAGGCCCGCGTACCGCAAAAAAAAAAAAAAAAAAAAAAAAACTAATATAAATCTGGATACTTATAAAGAAAAACTGGGTCTGTAAGTATCGATCATAAGTTCTCTGAAAAATCTGTATTAAAGACTAATCTTAAGTAATATTTGTAATAAATTACCTACAAGAGAAAGTAGTTAGTTACATTTCCAAATGTTCCAATCCTGCTAAGTTCTTCCAGCAGTGAAATACCAAGGAAGTTCACAGGAAGTTCTAACAAAGTAATGATGCTGGTTAATACATTCCAGTGTAGGCTAATGTATTTGGGAAAACATGTTATATTTAACTTAAGTATAAGGTACTTACAAATCAAGTGTGATTCTACAATGGTACTTAAGAATTTTATATATATATATATATATATATATATATATATATAAGCTCAACGTGCTACTGGGGTTAAAAGGGGGTAAGAAACTGCTGGACATAAGAATAAGCTAACTTAAAATTATGCAGAATATATACCCTGAAGGAAGTACCAGTCATGATAAAGCTAAAAGCTTGAATAAACTTCATAAACAGAAAAGATTTTAAAAAGAGGGGTGGGTGAGTAATGGGTTTCTATACGGGAAATTTGAAAGTTAGATCTTGCTCATTAAAAATGCAAAGGCTGAGCATAAAATCTCTTGAAACATGTAAAGTTTCTTTCAGGAAGCTCTGCCTATAAACTATAGGAATTTGCTAGTCTTAAAGTCATAAATCCTGAAAACTTAAGTTTAAAAACTAAACTGCCAATGTTACTTTGAGCAAGCCATTTAAATCCTCTAGATCCATACAGTCAATTATAAATGAAGGCATTAGCAAAGGCTGACCTCAAAGGTCACTGGTCTTTAAAGGCTCATTTAGAGTAAAACTCAAAATCCTTACAATGGTCCTACATAATCTGCGCTTACCCCCACTCAGCCTTTACCTGTCATATATCTACTACTCTTCCTCTCTTCCCCTGTTTCACACTGGCTCCCTTTGCTGTTCAGCAGATTTAGACTATTCTAGTTTCATAATTACTTTTTTCTTTCATAAAACTTACTAAATGTAAAATTACATAAAATCGATTATTCAGATATCCAACCTTTATCTTTGAAAAGTTTTATGCTTTTCTGATTAAAAGCAAACTCACCTCGTCTTTTCATCTGAAATATTTATTTTGTTAACATGAAGGTTTTCTAAAAGAACGTGACTCTGGTTTTCATACATTCTGCCTTCTGAAACTTTGGAGGATACAACTTCAATTTCCATTGCAATTTGAGAATTTGGCTGAAATGCAAAACTATATTAGTTTTGTTTTTTTTTTTAACAACAGAACATACCTCCTAAAATATTTTAATCATTAAGAAAGGTATTTAGGGACTTCCCTGGTGGCACAGTAGTTAAGAATCCACCTGCCAATGCAGGAGACACGGGTTCAATCCCTGGTCCAGGAAGATCCCACATGCCGCAGAGCAACTAAGCCCATGTGTCACAACTACTGAGCCTGTGCTCTACAGCCTGTGAGCCACAACTACTGAGCCCGCGAGCCACAACTACTGAGCCCATGTGCCACAACTACTGAAGCCCATGCGCCTAGAGCCCATGCTCCACAAAAGAGAAGCCACCGCAATGAGAAACCCATGCACAACAACGAAGAGTAGCCCCTGCTCGCCGCAACTAAAGAAAGTCCATGCTCAACAACGAAGACCCAATGCAGTGATAAATTAATTAATTAATTAATAATAATAAAAAAGAAAGGTATTTAGTTTTTTAAAATGAAGTCTCAAACTTGAGTATGCAATGTTCATGTTTTGCTGCCCAAAACAAAATTTCCTATTCACAGAGAAAGTTTCAAAGATTACTGCAGTAATATGTTCACATAATGCTTTAAAAACTACAATAACCATCTGTTGTGAACCTCCCTCCCAAAAAGTTCAATGTGTTTTTTTTAATTTGGGGGGGTGGTTCAAATAAGGATTACAATCACTTTATTTTAAATGTAGATTTTCCCTTGGTAGAGAAAAGGACAGAAAAACAAGATCTGTTGAAATGGGCATTAAACTACTTAGATTTGTTTCTAATATCAAAAGATCCATCAATAAGAGATTGGTTAAACTGTCATTCCAAATAGCAGTATGTTACACAGCAGTTAAAAATGATGTATCTCCATATTTCATGACATGGAAAGCCACTTAATATAATAAGTGAAAAACAGTAAGTCACAAAATAACATGATTACAATGATTTTATTATTTAAATTTACATGAGTATGCACACATGCATGCATGGAGATATATCCGGTAAGATATGTCAAAAGGTTTTCAGTGGTTACCTCAGAGTCGTGAGACTAGGGGTAATTATTATATTATTTTGTATTGATTGAACATTTTCACAATGAATAGGTTCATTAGTTAAGAAAAAAAAATCTATTTTCATTAAAAAAAAATCTACAATGGTAAATCTGAAACAAAACTAGACACGCTATGTATGAAGTAGAGTAAGTATCAGATGCCCATATTCTAAGCCAAGTCTGAGCTACCATTTGATATTTTAATATGCATTAAAAAGCTTGATTTAATTACATAGCAATAACTCACCACAGTCAGGAATTTTTTAGTTTCATCTTTTTGTAGTGTCCTTTCTTCCTTAATTGTTTCTTTGGCTTCGTTTTTTTCTATTACTTGCCTCTGTCCAACCTTTCTTAAGTTTGGACTGGGTCTCTGAAGTCGGCCCCTTACTGGTGGAGCAGTTTGGATAGCGCTTTCCTTCATTTCTTGTTCACAAGTGTTTATATGATAAGTCCTAGAAAAGGGGACAGGAGAAAAGAGAGAAAGCTTGATTGTAAAAAGATGAAAACTACTATAAAAATATAAAATTTGAATCCAATAAACTCTGTAAAAATATTTTGTACATTAAAGGAAAATTAAATTACCTTCTGATTATACCTCATTTTATAAAAAAATAGTTATTTCAATTCTCAAAAGGTACTGAACTTATATGAGGTACCTACAATATTCAAATTCATAGTAATAGAAAGCACAATGGTGGCTGCCAGGGACTGGAGGTAGGGGGAATGGGAAGTTATTGTTTAATGGGTACAGAGTTTCAGTTTGGGAAGAAAAATGTTCTGGAGATGAATGGTGGTAATGGTGTACAACAATGTGAATGTACTTAATGCCATTGGACTGTACACTTAAAAATGGTTAAAATAGTAAATTTTATGTTATATGTATCTTACTACAATTTTTAAAAAGGTAATGAATACATACCTTATATACATATATTTTTAAATGCATTGCTTTGTATAAGATCTTAAGCAGCTAACAGTGAATATAAGCAGGCAAGTGTTAAAAGGTGTTGAACTCAACCTGATTTTGTATTTTAGGCCATATGAATAAAAATAAGCCAAGTATTCTTGATACTCACTTTCAAAATACATTAACACATTTCTTAAAAAAAAATGAAGAACTATTTGAAATAATTCTCCTATTTTAGATTTTAATAAAACTATCACTGTTTACCCCATAGAGACAACTAATTCCTTTTCCTGGGCTTGTGTAGACTGAGACTCCTCTATAGGTTCACAAGAACTCGAAGGGGAAAGGTCCTTTTCAGTCTGTACATATGGTAATATCACAGCCTCCTCTTGACTGTGATCTGATTTGTCTTTTTCTGTTGATGCCATTAGGGAAGCCACATCCTAGAAGGTAGATTAGAAAAAAAAAATTTCATCGAGGGTTGGTAAAAGTATAGGGAAATAGAAACTTTAATAAACTGTTAGAAAAATAAACTGATATGGTCTTTGTAGACACCAGGGCAATATCTATCAAGAATTTTAATTTCCAGCAATTCTACTTCTAGAAATATATCTTATAAAAACACTCAAATAACTATCTAGAAAATTATACACAAGGATATTTATTACAGCAATATAATAGCCCCCCAAAAAAGGAAAGAAAAAGAAAAGGAAAAACAAAAAATTGGAAACAAGACAAATCAGTAGGGAACTGAATAAATTATAATTTCTTTACAATGAAACAGTACAGAGTCATTTAAAAGAAGTTTAATTTCTATATACTGATCCAAAAAGATGTTCATGGACTTCCCTGGTAGCGCAGTGGTTAAGAATCTGCCTGCCAATGCAGGGGACATGGGTTCGAGCCCTAGTCCGGGAAGATCCCACATGCTGCGGAGCAACTAAGCCCACGTGCCACAATTACTGAGCCCACAACTACTGAAGCCCATGCGCCTAGAGCCCATGCTCTGCAACAAGAGAAGCAACTGCAATAAGCCCCTGCACCGCAACGAAGAGTAGCCCCCGCTCGCCACAACTAGAGAAAGCCCGTGTGCATCAACGAACACCCAGCACAGCCATAAATAAATTATTAAAAAAAAAAAAAAGATGTTCACAATACTGTGTTTAGTAAAAAAATAATCAGAAGGCAGGATATGATGCCATTTTTGTAAAACAATGAAAATAAATACCCGCACATTTTATTATTTATATAAATAAGTATCTATACAGAAAAGTTTAGGTGGACATATTCAAAATTGCTAACTTGGGAGGGAGAGATGGACTAACTTGGCAGGGAAAGATGGAATATTATAAAGGACTCTCACTTTTTAGATGATATATTTTTCCCAATTTGCAATTTTTATAATCATTTAAAATAATCAATAAAACGTGATTTTGGGTACTTCCCTGGCGGTCCAGTGGTTAAGACTCTGCGCTTAGGCCTTCCCTGTGGGCACAGTAGTTAAGAATCCGCCTGCCAATGCAGGGGACACGGGTTCAATCCCTGGTCCAGGAAAATCCCACATGCCGCAGAGCAACTAAGCCCGTGCGCCACAACTACTGAGTCCGTGTGCCACAACTACTGAAGCCCGTGCACCTAGAGCCCGTGCTCCGCAACAAGAGAAGCCACCGCAATGAGAAGCCCACGCACCACAACGAAGAGTAGCCCCTGCTCACCACAACTAGAGAAAGCCCACACGCAGCAACGAAGACCCAATGTAACCCAAAAAATAAATTAAAAAAAAAAAAGACTGTGCTTCCACCACAGGGGACACAGGTTCAATCCCTGGTCAGGGAACTAAGATCCCACATGCCACATGGAATGGCCAAAAAATAAATTAATTAAATTAAATTAAATTAAATTAAATTAAATAAATAAATGAAAGTGGTGGGTTTTTTGTTTTTGTTTTTTTTGGCCATGCCTCGCAGCTTGTGGGATTTTAGTTCCCCAACCAAGGACTGAACCCAGGCCCTCGGCAGTGAAAGTGCAGAGTCCTAACAACTGGACCACCAGGGAATTCCCATGATTTATCCTTTTTAAACATAAGATTAGGAGGAAAAAGTACAAACGTTCAAGCACAGTAAGAACTGAGCTAAGATGTAAAAGAAGAACTTTAATTCAAAAAAGTACTTCATATGTTTAAACGCTCAATTTATGAGTGTTAACGTTTCATTTCAAGGTTTTTGATGCTGTATCAGACATCTTAATCTCTTATAGACCAAGTTAATCAAGTAAATAAAATAATCTCCTTTTAACTCATATCAAGCTTTTAACTTTTTATTTCACCTTCACAACAGAGTGAAGTAAAGATGGACTCTCATTCTCATTTTTCCTGTGAAGAAACTAGTTGCATCATTTGGCTATGGTCACATAATGAATAAAGGTCAGAACTTGAACTAGAGCCTGGGCCTCTTAAAATCCTTTCCATGACACATTTGCCCACCATCAGAGGTTCAAGATTCTTACACAAACCACATGGAACAATGAGGTACATTAAGTACAGCACCAATATCACACACAGCAAAAATTACATAAGGAAATATTTGTGAATTTTTAATTCCAAGTGTTTTACCTTAGTAATTATAATAACTAAAACAGAAAACCTCCATCTTAAATAACACTCACACGTTGAGAAGGGAGAGTTCTCATTTGTTCCCCATTCTGCTGTATCACAACAGTCCCTTTTTTATCAGCTTCCACTTTCTTCCCAGGTGCATGTTTTTCTGCTTCTATAGTCTCTCTTTTTGAAGCTGCTCTTGCTAAGTTTGGTTTTGGTCTTTTGAATCTACTTCTCACAAAAGGTGCTGGTTTCACTTCAAATGGCTTCTGTTCTTGAGGAAGAGATTTGCTTTTGGAACAAGGATTATCAAGCTTTAGGATGAAATGAAGGGGCAGTGGGAGCGGAGTCTTAGCACAACCTTAGAGACTGGCAGTAAATATTTAATTCTAATTCTTAACAGGAAAACAGATCAGACTATTTGGTAGATCCTGAAAAACATGAGTGGTACAATCCAGGTATAAGCCTAGGAATTACATCATCTTCGCACAAAGAAAATACAGGTTTGTCACACCTGTACTGACTTAAAAGTATGTGTTGTACACAATTTTTTATGTTAGTAATTCTCACAATCTACTGTCAGAAGGACCTCAAATCTCTCCCAGTCTTCCCCAAACCAGCTTAAAATTTTCAACACTATGCTATAGATGATATGTCTTAAAACCTTATTTAGTTTAACATAATCTGCAAATATAACTTTATATGCTTCCTCTTTACAAGCACACAGACCTATATACTTGTACCTTAAATTAATATCTGAAAACTGCTCTGGAACATCTGGAGATCGCATCCTCTGGTCTTCTATTTTATCAAGTTCAGAAGTCTGTGAAGAAATGTTCAAATGACTCAACTGACTTGATATTTCCTTTTCAGAATTTCTTTTTTCTTCTACAGATACATCCACCACGGATTGTACTTCACTGCTAATGTCCTGGAAATAAATCAGCACATATAAAATATTCCTTAAGCACCTATATTCTTCACACTGTTTTTAAAAATCCAGAAGTTTGGGGGGTTTTAATTTTTAAGTAAAATAAAATTTAATTTACAAATGCTAAAACACAGAATTTGGAAAACTCTTCTTTCTATATTGCATATTATTATATGTTTTTTCCAAACTACAAATGCCATTACCTATCCAAAAAAAAGTTAGAAAACTGGAAAATGTTAGAATTGCTTCAACTTCAATTAACTGGAAACTTTTAATAAGATGAACTTTTAAAAGTGGAGCGAAGTGGGGTGGGACAGGAAATAAAGAGAAAAACTGATACAGATAGGGTCAAAAGAAATAATTCCAGTGTATGTTCATACTAGAATTAGCACAAATTCAGTCCAATCTCTTGTATTTCTTTTATCTAAGAGTAACTTTAAACTAAGAACAGTTAAGAACAGTAACTTTTCTACAATTATAAAATGTTTTCAATTATTAAAAAAAAAAGAATATATAATTTCTTTAAGGTCCTGAAACACAGAATTTAGGGCTGGGAAAGACATTATGCTTTTAGAGACTTTAAATGTTGTTGGACTTAAGGGCAACAATAATCCTGGAATTATTTTGATATTTGATATTTGATATTTTTCTCTCTGAAAAAGTATTCAAAAAAATATTTTTAAAGGACAGAAAAATACATACTTTAATATTTAGTGAAGGCACAGCACTGCAGTCACCACTACCCCTCTGCAATGAATCTGACTCAGTTTGTCTTGAGGTCCCAGTCTCCTCTGGTTCATTTTCCCTTAGAGAAATGTCTATTTTTCCGGTTTTTTCCAAATCTGCCACCTTTTCCTCAGAAGCACTGATCTCTTCTGATCGGCTTTTCCTAAAGGAAATTTCTCTTCCAGTTTCTTTCAAATCTGCCTCCGTTTCCTCAATGGCAGTCATCTTTCCTGATACCTTTTCCATCAGGGAAATGTCTCTTTTTCCAGTTTCTTCCAAATCAATCTCCCTTTCCCCTGTGGCACTGATCCCCACTAGTACCTTTTCCCTTGGGGAAATTTCTATTCCAATTTTGTTCAAATCTGTCTCCATTTCATCATCTATAGTTTTGAGCTCTGAGGACTTCTTTTGTGTAGGTATTTCTCTTCTTTCAGTTTCTTCTAAATCTGTCTCTACTTCCTCAGCGGCATCAATCATCTCCGGTATCTTCTCCCTCGGGGAAATCTCTCTTCCAGTTTCTTTCAAACCTGTCTTCACTTCACCAATAGTATCGACCTCCTCTGGGGCATTTTCCTGTAGGGATATTTCTCTTCGTTCAGTCTCTTCCAAATCTGTCTCTCTTTCCTCAGTGGCATCAGTCACCTTTGTTATCTTCTCCCTTGGGAAAATCTCTCTTCCAGTCTCTCTCAAATCTGTCTCCATTTCCACAGTGACATCAATCATTCCTGGTATTTTCTCCCTGGGAGAGATATCTTTCCTTTCAGTTTCTTTTAAATCTGACTCCATTTCCTTAGCAGTATTAGTCTCCACAGGTACCTTTTCCCTTGGTGAGGTTTCCAATCTTGCAGTTTCTCTCAAAGCTGTTGTCATCTCCTCAGAGGCAAGAACCTCCTTTGGTACCTCTTCTTCCTTTGAGAAAATTTCTCTTCTTCCAGTTCTTCTTCTTATATTTGGCTTTGGTTTCTGAAATCGAGTCTTCAGAATTTGAACTTGTTTATTTGCTTTATTATCCTCTTGAATACTATTTAAAAAAAAAAGATACACAATCAAATTGTAAACTAGACTGCCAACTGAAGAGATATGGTTGAGAAATCACTACTGAAAAACCAGGAATTCTCTAATTAAAAAAAAAAAAATTAATGAAGCACCAAGAATCTCTGGGCAAAATTTAAAAATTAAAGTAGAGAAAAGATTCTATCCTTGGAAATTACAGTAAATTTTTTAAAAAATTAAATATATTTATTATATAGAGACATATATACAGAGAAATCTATCAATAAGGTCAATTAGAGTAGCAGCTAATCAGGCCTAAATAGTCTCTTTCTAATTGTCATCCACATCATCCTTGGCAAATACTGGCTGAGAAAGACTCTCCAAGTCCTCTACATCGGAGCTAGACCAATCTGTGGCTGCTATTCCTACCTTTTTGCTCCTACTCTCCTTTATCCAGACATATGTCTTGCTGTAAGAGTTAAAGAACTCATTTATATGGCCAGAACTAACCAGGATCTCAAATAGCTGGGTGGAGGTATAATTTGAATAAGGTACAGTCTTATGACTAAAAACTAGGTCTGCCCCTCCTCACTTTTTAAAAACAATTAAAAATGAGATTTCCTGTACAGTCACTTCTCTAAAAGCTTGTGATTTCATAATACATTGTGGGAATGAAAGAAAAGAGTAAATAAACAACAACAGTCTGTTTTTGCAGTCTGTTGAATGCTTCTGGGCACACAACAATCACTATCTAGTATAAGCACCTTGTTCTTCAAAAAAGCAGCAGCATGCTCTGCTTTGTGCTTTATCATAATAATAGAGTAAAACCAATAAAAATATACAAATGAATGAAAGAGCACTTAGTGACTGGTTAAGATTTTGACCTCTGAGGCCCTTTTCTTGGGTAGATATTTCTCTTCTTTCAGTTTCTTACATAGCATCTTGAACAGTTCAAAGTGTTTGAGACTGGGGAGGAGGGAAACTGCCTACTGGATATAAACAGGAATATGATTTGATAAAACACAGAATCTTAGAATTGTTTCTGTGAATACGGAGATTCAAAGGCCAGAAAGGTCACTGCCTTTGGAGAGGAAAGTTGTTGATATCAGACTGGATATTAGTTATGAACAATCCAGCAGGGTTCTAAAACCCAAAGGCCACTCAGGGAAAACTTGGTTTTCTACTAAGCCACATGAAAATGGAGTCTGGTTTAAACTAAAAAAATACAAACAAAATATCCAAATTGTGAGCTATCTGTAATTAATATTTGTATCAGAGATATGCAACAATGCAGTAATGCAGTTGTACAGGCTTCTACCCAGAGTTTGTGTGGCAGAGAAGCAAAATAGGCTGGGGGTGTAGGGAGGGGGTACAAAGGAATAGAGAAAGAAGAGAGGAATAAAGGAATTTTTCTGTCTTCTAATAAAGATCTTTTGAGTAGTTCAGGAAACCTAGCTTTCACTCTCAGGTTAGGTAGTATTTAAACAGGCTCATACAGCTGTAATAAAGTATACAATAGGCCAGACTTTAAATGTGAAGATTGGTAAAATATAAATAATTGTTGAAACTAGATAGTAGGTACATGGGAGTCTGTTATTCTGTTCTCAGTACTTCTGTGCATTGAATATTCCCAAAAGGAAAAAAGTTTTAAAAGCACACTAATAATTCCGTTGATCTGGTTTAATATCCTGCAGAGGGGAAACAACAAATTCAGAGAGCTTTGGCTATGGGAAGTATGAGTTTTACTTAAAATTTACATAAACCTTAAATAAAGGTAATATGTGATCAATCTAATCCCAAAGAAACAAATATTAAGAAAGTAAGTAGCATTTTCACATCTGGATATAAACATGTAATTTACTATGCATGTGAAGTGATAATACTCTCCATGTTAACTCAAGGTTTAATTTGCGATGGGTAAATCAATTCATCAAAACACCAAAAAGTGAGAAATCAACACGAAGGCAATGACATAAACTGCCTTGAAAGGTGAATTTACACTTGTAAATATTATGTAACTTGATATACAGATAACAAAATCAGTCTGATTTGCTATTTTTAAAAAATGATTAAGAATTTCTAAAACTTTACACATAATTCAACTATTATATCATTAATAAGATGATGCTTACCTCAGACATTCATTAAGAGCCTTGGGCTCATCTGACTGCACATTTTGAAAAGAAGTATCTTTTTTTTCAGATTGTGATGTGATGTCTTCACAATCAAAATTTTTACATGCCTGATCTTCTATTTGTTCAGGAGTCTTAATAACAAACACATTTTTAAAAAAGTTTTAGGTCTCACAATGTAACACACATTTATAAAAGACTTCATTGAAAATTATGTACGACTTGAGTACAAGGAAAATGGTAAACATTTCAAAATTATAAAATGATATTCAAGAGACACTTTTTTTTGACAGGGGTGTGGAGTGGTGCCACGATGTGCAGCCTGCGGAATCTTACCCGGGCCCCCTGCAGTGGAAGCACGGAGTCCTAACCACTGGACCACCAGGGAATTTCCTAAGGGGCACTTTTTAATGTTTGTTCTTTAGATATAGGAAATTTCACAAGCCACACCTTTTACCTCATCTCAAAGCCCCCATTCTTTTCCTCCTAATCAGAAAGCAAGTAACTGCTTCAGTCTGATCTGTTAAAATTATCCCTTGGGGTCTATCTTTCTAAATCTTTTTGATTATTACAATCACATTATAGACCCTGGGAATCATAATAGAAGAAATTCAAATCTCAAATCATGCCAACTCTTACTCTTATCACAAAGACCAGTTACTATGTAAATAATCTAAAATTTATCATCTTTGTTGTTGGAATATTTTAGTAGGGAGCTTCTAACATTTTATTTTGTTTAAGTCAGTATTAAAATTCATATACATAGCTATATTTTCAGAAGGGAAGTAGAATTCAAACACCTGCTGAGTGATGGGGGAAGGCAAGTCCAAACATGAGTAAGGTGAAAGCAGATGATTCATCATATAAATGCTTAAAATCCACAGAGCTGAGAGCTAAGTGCCTTCACAATTAGCAAAGCTGCTGGCTATGAGATTTGGGCATTAAATTTAAAGAACAATATACATAATTGTATACAGTACTGCTGTTTAAAAAGGGGGATGAAAGGAGGCTTATGTATTTGTTTAACAAAAAACTGGAGGGCATCAGAGTACTTACATCTCTATCGATACAGGACTCATTTTCATTCTTTTCTACACTGGCTCCAAGTTTTTCCTGTGATGTAACAGTTTCTTTTCTTTCAGCAGCTTTACCTACATTTGGCTTTGGCCTTTGCAATAAGCCCCTCATTAGGCGTGCAGGTCTGAAAGCCTTTAGTTGATCATCTTCCTGCAGACAAATTTTTTCACTCAAACTAGAGTAATTACAAAGGAATAAAATCAATGGTTATTCTGAAGTCACATAATTACTTGTATATCACATACATGCTTGTCTTCAGTATTCTCTTCTCCCAGGTATAAATAAGTAAACCATTTGGAATACAAAATAATTCACAAGACCAAAAGACAACCCTCAGAATGGCAGAAAATATTTGCAAATGAAGCAACTGACAAAGGATTAATCTCCAAAATTTATAAGCAGCTCATGCAGCTCAATAACAAAAAAACAAACAACCCAATCCAAAAATGGGGAGAAGACCTAAATAGACATTTCTCCAAAGAAGATATACAGACTGCCAACAAACACATGAAAGAATGCTCAACATCACTAATCATTAGAGAAATGCAAATCAAAACTACAATGAGATATCATCTCACACCAGTCAGAATGGCCATCATCAAAAAATCTACAAACAATAAATGCTGGAGAGGGTGTGGAGAAAAGGGAACACTCTTGCACTGTTGGTGGGAATGTAAATTGATACAGCCACTGTGGAGAACAGTATGGAGGTTCCTTAAAAAACTACAAATAGAACTACCATATGACCCAGCAATCCCACTACTGGGCATATACCCTGAGAAAACCAGAATTCAAAAAGAGACATGTACCAAAATGTTCACTGCAGCTCTATTTACAATAGCCCGGAGATGGAAGCAACCTAAGTGTCCATCATCAGATGAATGCATAAAGAAGATGTGGCACATATATACAATGGAATATTACTCAGCCATAAAAAGAAACGAAATTGAGCTATTTGTAATGAGGTGGATAGACCTAGTCTGTCATACAGAGTGAAGTAAGTCAGAAAGAGAGAGACAAATACCGTATGCTAACACATATATATGGAATTTAAGAAAAAAAAAAATGTCATGAAGAACCTAGGGGTAAGACAGGAATAAAGGCACAGACCTACTAGAGAATGGACTTGAGGATATGGGGAGGGGGAAGGGTAAGCTGTGACAAAGCGAGAGAGAGGCATGGACATATATACACTACCAATCGTAAGGTAGATAGCTAGTGGGAGGCAGCCGCATAGCACAGGGAGATCAGCTCCGTGCTTTGTGACCGCCTGGAGGGGTGGGATAGGGAGGGTGGGAGGGAGGGAGACGCAAGAGGGAAGAGATATGGGAACATATGTATATATATAACTGATTCATTTTGTTGTAAAGCAGAAACTAACACACCATTGTAAAGCAATTATACTCCAATAAAGATGTTTAAAAAAAAAAAATAATTCACAAGTGTCTTTAAGAACACCCTCAAAGAAACACACACCTCTATACCTTAACCCTCTAGAACAGACATAGCCCTAAAAGCATGACTATAAAAAAAGCATTTTAAAATCAAATTGTCACCACAAAATTGGAAAAATCTATACCTGACAAGCATGGAATACTATTCCCCAGGACACCATTGTGTACACCTCCAGGGCACTGGACACAGATTATGGAATAAACATACAGTCCAGAATCCACTGGTTCAGATTTATGTTGGAGCAGGCCTATTCTAGATCTCTACTCTAAGTTAAAGATTCCCCACCGCCCTTTTTCTCTGGTCGCACTGCGCAGCATGCGAGATCTTAGTTCCCCAACCAGGGATCAAACCTGTGCCCCCAGCAGTAGCAGCATGGAGCACTAACCACTGGACCACTAGGGAATTCCCCTAAATATTCCCTTTGGAAACCCCTTGCTATAAATAAAATTATCCAGAAACATATATCTTAACCATTAATTCATCTAACAAGACTTTGTTAAAATCTTGTTAGGAAGTTGAGGGAGAAATGTAATTGCTCACCAGTGGATCCATACTATAATTTATTTCTACAATACCAAGCATAAAGATCATTATTAAAATGTTTCAACAATCCCTATAGTTAAAAATGGACTTAAATACACTAGCTGAAAATAAAATGCAGACATTAAGTTGAAAATAAGTCATTACAATCATTCCTAAGAGTTACTATTTTTATTCTATTTCCTAAATACTTACTTAGATGCAGTATCAGCCTCTGGATTCTCTTTCTCTTTATTCTCCATTCCAGAAATACCAAGTGTATTCATTTTATCCTTTTCCATATGATTCTACGAATTTAATTTTTTATATTTAATCTACTTAACATAAAGTTCAAACTTCGTAATAAATAAATAAATGGAAATTAAAACAATAAAATTTCACTTTTTTGTACTTCTAATTATTAAAAGAGAGTTGTTAAAATCATAAAGGCAGATGAGAACCTTTTAAACATATAATCTCATACGTCACTGATAGAAGCACAAATTGGTATATCCTTTCTGGAAAGCCTTTTGCCAACATGGATCAAGAACTTTAATAATGTTCATATTCTTTGACCCAGTAATATCATTTCTAAGACTCTACTCTAAAAAAATATCTAGGCAAAGATTTAAGTACAAAGTTGTTCACTAGAACATTATGCAAAACAGCAAACACTGTAAACTGACAAAATATCCAATAATAAATAAACGGTTAAATAAATTCAGTTATACCCATTGATAGAATATTATGAAGTCACTAAAAACCATGTTTTCAAAAGATATTTAATGATATGGAAATATATTTATGAAATGTTAAAATACCAGAGAAGGATACAAAAGTGAATTAATACTACTACTCAAGAATGTAAAAGAAAAGCTGGAAGGATATAGTCTAAAATGTTGGTTGCATGTAGATAATAAAATTAACTTTTACATGAATCTGTATTTTCCCAACCTTCTAGAATTTAAAAACATCTCATAAGATTATAATATAGTTATAGTTATATTATTAAGATTTAAAAGATTTCACATAAAAGGAAAAAAGAATAAAATTTTAAAAATTATTTTAGCAAAAATAAAACATTTTTAACAATATAATGCTGGCAAGGATACAAGGAAACAGGAACATTCATTTAATGCTTAAAGCAATGTAAATAGATCCTGGTTTTTTTTTTTTTGGTCACGGGGCTTGTGGGATCTTAGTTCCCCGACCAGGGATCGAATCCGGGCCCAGGCATCGAATCCGGGCCCAGGCAGTAAAAGCGTCCTAACAACTGGACCTCCAGGGAATTCCCAAGATTCCTTTTTTTGACAGTTTGACACTTCCTAACAAGAGCCAAAAAATATTTAAAATACTTTGGCACATTAATCCCACCACCTCTGGAAATTTATTCTTTGTCTATTTACAAAATTGTTTGCTTTTATTTACAAGGGTTAAAAAAATGGAAACAACCTAAACATTAGAGAAATGGTTAGGTAAATTAATAATAATGTTAACCTGATGCAGCTATTAAAAAGATCAATTAACCCCAAGAAAGGTAAATGGATAGTTTCAGAGAAAAATGTTTTAAATATTATATATGGCTAAAAACTACAAAAATGTTTACTTCCATAAAAAGAGAAATAAAGTTTATGAAGGACAAACAGAGGAATATTCTGTATATAGATAAGAGGGTTGTGGTTATAATTTTATTATAGCTGGTTTAAAAAATATTTTGAATAAATATTTTATATAAGTAAACAAAAGATATATTTGTTACTGCTAAGGATGTTCGAAATGATATATCCTATATTCTAAAGAAAATGTATACAACATGAGACTAGTAAGACAAATTTAATATTAATGTTTGAAGTTCTCATACCTTGGCTTTACTATTGGTAACATTACTTCGTAATTATAAGTTAAACATTTTTATTCCCAACTATTTAGAAAAAATACTTTATAATTTTAATCTCCATTAAGTCTCTTACTCCATACCTTTTCAACTGAAGTTTCTGTATGTAAACTCTTGTTCTCTGTATCTGTTTTCCCTTGTGAAAGAACTGATTTCTTCCCAACTGCCCTTGATAAATTGGGTTTAGGTCTCTGGAGTCGTCCTCTTGTCTTCGGTTTAATACTTCCTGTTTGACCAGTTTCCCTAGAAAATTAATATTATTTAAATTGTACCAACATGCAGGCATATTCAAAAGAAATTCTGGAAAATTCTTTAAAAATCCATTCACAGCTAGAAAAGAACTCCTTTAAGCTTACTTACAATAAATGTAGCAAAGAAGACTGAACAAGAAGAGCAATGAAGGGTAACTAATTTGTTTTATCAGATGTTAAAAATATACTACTTAGCAGCAATAATTAAAATATTGTGGTACTAACACATGAATAAAAGATAAATGAAACACAGAAGAAAACTGAGATGATGACTCCAAAATACATGATTTTAGTATACAATAAAGTTGTCATTTCAAAATAGAATAAGATGACCACAAAAATAATATATTTTTTAAAATAAATGTTAAATTAAATTAACAGTGATGGGAAAACTAGTAATACTGGGAAATGAAATAAAATTAGCTCCATTTCTTGCACTGTACTCACAATATATTCTAAATGAATCAAAGATTTAAGTGAAACCATAGAGAAAACATGAATGAATTCTTTTGTAACTTTGAGGTAGAGTAAGCCTTTCTAAAACTTGATTAAAAGATCAGGAGCCATAAAAGAAAAAAAAAAAAGGAGAGAGATCTGACAACATAAAAATCAAAAACTTTTACATGTCCAAAACATATGTCATAAGTCAAACTACAAACCAAGAAAACATGTTTTACAACTCATATCACAAGGCTAATAACCTCTCTAAAATGTAAAGACCTCCTACAGAACAATACCAGTAACTCATTAGAAAACTGGACAAAGGATACGAACTCCCAAAAAAACAAAAAAAAATAGGTTTTAAATGTGAAGATATGCTCAGCTTCACTCCCAGGAAGAAATGTACAAATTAAAAGTAGAGCGAGCTGGACTTCCCTGGCGGTCCAGTGGTTAAGACGCCGTGTTTCCAACGCAGTGGGTGCAGGTTCGATCCCTGGTTGGGGAACTAAGATCCCACACGCCGCACAGCACGGCCAAGAAAGAAAAAAAAGATTGAAAAAAAAAAAAGTAGAGCGAGCAAGCACAAATGTGAAAAGATATTAAGAATCAGAGAATCTAAGGGGAATTATATACTGATGTTCATTGTTCTTTTGACTTTTCCTTAGGTTAGAAAATTTTTAAGTAAGCAACTGAAGGGAAAAAAAAAAAAAAGAATTATCTACCCCTGTCAGAAAAGGAGGACTGGGGTATATATACTATACTGTGATATTATTTTATTTTATAATCTATCAAGACTAGCAAAAATCCAAGTTTGATAACACTGTTGGTAGGGAGCCATTTCTTACACTGTTAGTGGGAATATAAACTAGAGTAACTCCTATGGAGAGCATTTTGGAAGTATCTATCAAAATCATAAATGTATAAATGTACACACACTCACATACAAATGTGTCCTTTGGGCTAGCAATTTCATTTTAGGAACTTTCCCTACAAATAGATTGGCACAAGGGTGAAAGGATAGAGGTATAAGTTTCTAAGCATTGTTTGTAAAAACAACATATATAGCCATCAACAGGGCACCGATAATATAAAGTGTGATTCATCCATACAACAGAACACTATGCAACTATAAAAAGAATAAAGGTCTTTAAGTAAAGATATGACGATATAAGATAAAAAAATTACAAAATGGTATTATACTATGCTACCATTAGGGTTTTAAAAAGAGTAAGACATATATAAACTTTATGTATTTGTATTAGCTTTAATGTCTTTTTTTTTTAATCTCTGAAAGACTAAGAAATAAATAACGCTGGTTACTTGTTAGAGTAAATGGGGACATGACAGGAGGGATACTTCACTCTATACCTTCTTACACTTTTGGATGTTTGAACCACAGGAATATATTGCCTATTCCAAAGACTAGTTTAAATTTTTATTTAAAAAAATAAGTTTGATTCTCTGGGACCTCCCTGGTGGCGCAGTGGTTAAGAATCCACCTGCCAATGCAGGGGACACGGGGTCCAAGCCCTGGTCTGGGAAGATCCCACATGCCGCAGAACAACTAAGCCCGTGCTCCACAACTACTGAGCCTGCGCTCTAGAGCCCGCAAGAAACAGCTACTGAGCCCACGTGCCACAACTACTGAAGCCCACATGTCACAACTACTGAAGCCCACATGCCTAGAGCCTGTGCTCTGCAACAACAGAAGCCACCACAATGAGAAGCCCGTGCGCCGTAAGGAAGAGTAGTCCCCGCTCACTGCAACTACAGAAAGCCCATGTGCATCAACGAAAACCCAACGCAGCCAAAAATAAATAAATAAATTTAAAAATCATCTTTAAAAAAAAAAAGTTTGATTCTCAATGTGACTATGCTTTACTGAAAATAAAAATTCATAAACTAAACTTTTAAGCCCATATGAGGAGTTATGGAGGAGATAAAAAGGAAGTCTGAACTTCTGAGATATCTTTTCAAAGGGAGATTCTTGTGGTGCTTTTATTGTTTTTAGTGAAGATATCAATTTAATCAGTATTTTCATACTAGAAAACATAATACATAATCTCTTTAAAGTCATCAATATCAAAATCTACTACTTTGACAACAGGTATGAAAAATAACTCAAACCAAGTAAAAGTTAAATCTCATAGCAAATATTTGGCTTCCGAATTATTTTAGAATTTCATCATAAGTTACCAGTTTGCTATAACTCGTATCACTAAGGTAATCTTTCTATAATGAAATATAAAGTGAAAAACCTTAATGTCACTAAGACCACAGTACAATTACATATTAAATGGTCTACAGTCCTCTCCTAATTCCTAAAGGAAGCAACATTATTATCATTTTTTAAATGATAATAAATTATCAAAATTTTGAAAGCAAATTTCAAAATCCTACCATGTAAAATACTTACAGTGCTTTATCTTTTAGGTCAACATTTCCTTCTTCTGTACAACTACTCTCAGCATTATTCACCTCACACAATGCTCTAATTCCACCTTCTGATGAAGGCAAATATGAAGTGCTTGATTCTGAAGTCTCAGCTGCTACTGATACGGCATCTTGTTGACTACTACGGAAATGAAAATATATCAGGGGAAAAGAACCCTTAGTAATTCACATTTTATACTAATTATTTAAAAGATTTTTTAAAAATATACAAAGCCAAAACTCTGGAAGATGATCCTTCATATCACGGAATAATCAAAATGGATATTTTGGTTTCTCTATGATCCTCCTTGCACCATGTTAATAAAACACTGTATCTTAGGAGATAATAACAGTCACAAATGAACAGGGAAAGTGCTCAAGAAGTCACAAAATGAAAAACTCATAACTACATGGGGTTCACAAATCAAATGTATGTGTAAAATCATAGTAATGTTTAGGAATTATCTTTCATTAAAATTTTGTATTGTCAGTCTTTGCTTTGCATGGTACTGTGTTACCCAAGAGCCATGGAAATCGAAGACACAGTTGCAACATGCACAAGTTGCAGTTAATGCTGTAGCGTGCAAAGAGAGGACTGCTGTATTAGAAAGTACTTCAACTAACAATAATATAAATGATGGCCATGTACTAACGAGCACTCAGTTTCAACGCAAATTCACATTCAGCCATGCTTTGTTTTTTTGTTCTTTTTTTCTACTGGGTGTTTGTCTTTTCCCAGCGCTCTTTCTATATTCTTTTTTGGCTAGATGTTGCATATACAACCTCCCAATCAATAGCTTGCCTTTTACTTTCTTCATGGAGCCTTTTGTCAACAGAAGTATTTAATTTTACTGCAGTTGAATTTATCAATTTCATCCTTTAAAGTTTGTACTTTTTATGTCTTAAGAAATCCTTGACATCACAAAATTATTTTTCTACATTTTTTCCTAAAAGTTTTAAAGATTTGCTTTATATATGTAGCCTTTAATCTATGAGGAGGTTAGTGCATAGAGTAAAATAGGGATCTACTATTATCTTTTTCATATCTAAGCACCATTTAATGAATGGTTAATTCAATCTTTCCCACTAATTTCTAATGCTACCTCTGCCATCTAAATGATGCCTAAATTTCTCTTCCTAGATTCTACATACAATCTTCCTCTCAGTCAATTTGTCTGGCCTTTTCCAGTACCACACTCTTTTAATTACTCTAGCTTTAGAATAAGAATCAGTTCACTGTTTTACAAAACCAACTGGTATTTTAACAGTCATTACAGGGTAGCTTTCCCCCATAAAAAAAGTCATCAGTATTGTTTTGTGCATAGTCTATGAAATTAGTTGTGTCTCTGAGGTCAGAATTTAGATGTCTGTCACCCAGCAAGTTAAGGGCCTGAGGTCTATGGCTTGGCTTCAAAGAAATTATTAATCTTCTGTATTGTATGAATAAATTGGCACAGGTGCATATAGGTATTTTTCTACATGAGAATAAATGGCTTTCATCAAAATTTTCAGAAGAGGGTACATGCCAACCAATGGAACAGAACAGACCCATGCACCCAGTCAAATGATCTTTGACAGGGTGCCAAAACTACACAATGAAAAGGAAAATCTCTTCAGCAAATGATGCTGGGAAAGCTAGATACCCATATGCAAAAAAAGAGAAACTGGACCTTTACCTTATACCATACACAAAAATCAACTCAAAATGGAATAAAGATTTAAAGGTAACACCTTTTATTGTTTTCTTTTTCAGCTATGCCACGTAGCTTGTGGGATCTTAGTTCCCCAACCAGGGATTGAACCCAGGCCCACTGCATTAAAGGTAATGCCTTAAAGTATAAAATTCCTAAGGAAAACATGGGGGAAAACTTCATAAGATTGGTATTGGTAATAATTTCTTGGACATGACACAAAAGGCACAGGCAGGAAAAGTAAAAATAGACAAGTGGGACTATATCAAACCAAAAACTTTCTGTACAGCAAAGGAAACAATCAAGAGTCAAAAGGCAACCTATGGAATGGGAGAAAAGATTTGTAAACCATATACTGGATAAGGACTTAGTATCCAAAATATAAAAGGAACACCTAGAACTCAGTAACAGAAAAACAAATAACTCAATTAAAGAACTGGAAAAGGAATTGAATAGACATTTCTCCACAAGAAGACATACAAATGGCCAACAAGTAATATTTAAAGATGCTCAAGGGACTTCCCTGGTGGCGCAATGGTTAAGAATCTGCCTGCCAATGCAGGGGACACGAGTTTGAGCCCTGGTCCAGGAAGATCCCACATGCCGTGGAGCAACTAAGCCCGTGTGCCACAACTACTGAGCCTGTGCTCTAGAGCCCGCAAGCCATAACTGCTGAGCCCACGTGCCGCAGCTACTGAAGCCCACACACCTAGGGTCCGTGCTCTGCAACAAGAGAAGCCACTGCAATGAGAAGCCCGCACACCACAACGAAGAGTAGCTCCCACTCGCTGCAACTAAAAAAAGCCCACGTGCTGCAAAGAAGACCCAACGCACCCAAAAGTAAATAAATAAATAAATAGTAAAATAAAATAAAGATGCTCAACATCACAATCATCAGGGAAATGCAAATCAAAACCACAGTGAGGTATCACCTCACACCTGTTAGGAACTGTTATATTATACTAACATTACTTTTTAAAAATATATATGTACTTAAAAAAAAGGATTAATTAAAAAATATATATTAATTTTTTAGAAAAACAGAAAATAATAAATGCTGGCAAGAGTATGGAAAAACTGGAATTCTTATGAACTGTGGGTAGGAATGTAAAATGCAGCCACAATGAAAAACAGTATGGAGGCTCTTCAAAAAATTTAAAACAGAATTATCATATGATCCAGCAATTTCCCTTCTGGGTATTTACCCAGAAGAACTGAAAACAGGGTCTCAAAGAAATATCTTCAGTTCCATGTTTATTGCAGCATTATTCATAATAGCCAAGAGATGGAAACAACCTAAATGTCCATTGACAGATAAATGAATAAACAAAATGTGCTATATACTTACAATGGAATATTATTCAACCATAAAAACAGAAATCCTTCATATGCTACAACATGGATGAACTTTGAAAACATCATGCTAGGTGAAATAAGCCACTCATAGAAGGATAAATATTTATGATTCCACTTACATGAAGTATCTAAAGTAACCAAACTCATAGAAAGTAGAATGGTGGTTACCAGGGGCTGGGGTAAGGAGGAAATAAAGAGTTACTGTTCAAAAGATACAGAGTTTCAGCCATGCAAGACGAAAATGTTCTAGAGATTTGCTGTACAACACTGTGCTCATAGTTAACAACACTGTACATTTTAAAAACTCGTAAGAAGAGCAGATCTCATGTTATGTGTTTTTTACCACAAGTAAAAACAAACAAACAAAAAAACCTCAGCAGGATACATCACATTCAAATTGCTGAAAACCAAAAATCAAGAGAAAATCTTTATAGAAAATGATAAACCCATGCAAATATTAACCGCAAGAAAGCTGTAGTGGCATCGCAATCATCAGAACAAACAGCAATACCAGAAAGATATCACACAAATGATAAAAGGGTGATTTCACCAAGAAGATACAACAATCCTAGATATGTATACACCTAACAAAAGAGCTTCAAAAGACACGAAGAAAAACAAATAGAACTGAAAAGAGAAATAAGCAAATTCACAATTACAGGTGGAGATTTCCCACTCCTTTGGTAACTGATAGAAGATGTAGACAAAGTGAGTAAAGATACATAAAATACCTTGGTGAAAGAGCAGGGTCAGTTCTTTTCTCAGCCTTTTCATTAGAGGATAGATCCACAATGTCATCTGTGTTCTGTACACAGGGAAGCTTTTGTTCCTTATTGCTTTCATCTTCATTTATCTCAGGACTTAAAGACAGGCATTTATCTATTAATACAAAATGCATATTATTATAAAAATGACAGCAAAAACATATATATTTAAAGCACAAAGGAATTTACATATAACACTGTAATGTAATGATTAAGAAATTATCCCAAAGTCCAATTTCTTAAAAGTTGAGCTATTCTGCTTTATATGTAATGTCTTTACTAGTAAGCCACAAAGAGCATATTATGATGCTTATAAATCACACTATGCTATCTATCAGGGTTCACTTACTAAAATCTTATTGGTGAAGTTGAACCACATAAAACTTAAATTCTACAGAAAGGTTGTTCTGATCTGTTACTATTTTTTCTCCTCTCTTTAACTGGTTATCTGCTTTAAGTAATCTATATGTGAATTCTTCAAGAAAGAGACCGAGACTTCCCTAAACTCTTGGCTCTCATTCCCTAGTGACTCACAAGTGTCAAAATGTCTGTATTCTAGGGAGCTTTAAAAAAGAAAAATGAGGGCTTCCCTGGTGGGGCAGTGGTTGGGGGTCCGCCTGCCGATGCAGGGGACATGGGTTCATGCCCCAGTCCGGGAGGATCCCACATACTGCGGAGCGGCTGGGCCCGTGAGCCATGGCCGCTGAGCCTGCGCGTCCGGAGCCTGTGCTCCGCAATGGGAGAGGCCAAGAAAAATGAGAGGAGTACTTATTCTAGTACCTTTTATACAAATTAAACAACTTATTTGGGGTTCATAGAGGTGCTCTGTAGAGACAGAACATGAAAACCTGTGATTTATTAACAGACACAATACACGTTTAATTATATGCACGTGACTTAGAATAATTGTTAATGTGAACACATAGGAGGTAACACATCTCAGAGACAAACTTGAGAGAAATATCTCCCCATTTCACTCTTTTTTTAATAAATGTTTTTTCTTTAAATTAAAAGTAAAAGGGTTTAACCCAGTACCATGAATACAGAACCAATTAATAAGCATTATTCGTTGTTACTATCCAGAAGAAAAGTAGTTAAGTTATACATCATATTAGTGTACGTGTCTTCACAAGTAATATAGGGGCTATTAACATATGTAATACACTTACTTTTGTGGTTTTCTCCTTTAGAAGAGCCTGGCTGAACAGTGGCATTTCCTGAAAGATTTACCTCTTGTTCACTACTTTCATCCTGATTCTTTCTTCTCCTTTTCTTTTGATTTATATCTTGTTCTAATGCATTCTGTTCTGAATCCTGTCCTGATAAAGTCAGAGACTGTTCTTCTTCTTCAACTGTCTGAGCATCCTTTTGAGATCCTTCTGTGTCTGAAATTCTAGTGCTCACAGACTCATCTGGATTATCATTCACTCTTTCACTGGAGACTTTTTTCACTTAAAGTAAGAGAAATTGTTATAAATATAAAAACAGCCTACAGAAAAATTCTTAAAGGTGGAGAAGATAAACACATAAGGATGTCTGAGCGAAAATTTAAAGACAACCTAAACTGTCCAATAGAGAATGACTAAATAAGTTATAATACATTTATGCTATAGAAATCCATGCAGCAAATAACAATGAGGTAGGTTTGTATGTAGTCATGTACAAGATTTCAAAAAATATTGTTGCCTTAAAAAAAAAAATCAAGTTGCAGAACAATATACACAGTATCACCACACTTTTATTTTAAGAAAAACAATTACATGTACTCTAAGACACATACACATTTATAGGCATAGAAAAGAGTTTACTAACAATCATCCCTAAGAAAGGTAAGACTTTGAGGGCAGGGTACAAGAGAGAGTTCAAGTATTTTATTTTCTGTATCCTTTGTTTTTCAATGAACAACCTTATTAACAAATATTTTTAAACAATTTCTAGTGCCTTTTTTTGAAGGCATATTAATAGTTAACTGTATCAAAAGATGAAAATAATGAATTAATTTTAAAAAACAAAAATAAAATGTTATTTATTTTTATTCAAAAAAAGTCAAAACAAGATTTTAAAACTAAGAAAATATGCTGGATTTATTCTTTATCAGAATAATAATCAGCAATTTTTAAATTCTGAGACTTGTAACAAAGTACCTGAAAAGTTCTCACATTAAATAAGATACAGTGAGTTACTTATGCTAACACTGTAACATAATAACCACAAGATTAGTGATAGATTAATATATCTATTTTAATTTCCCAGGGCTATGTAAGTTAAAAAAATGACTAAAATGAAATAACTTTACAGTTATCAATACTACTTTTAAAAAGATAGGGGCACTATGCTCTAGAAAAAGAAGTTCTATATTGGCTCTGTGCAGAAGGAGTTAACAAAGCCGGCCTCACTGCTCTCCTTTGAAAGGCCTGCTTAAAAGGTTGGCCCTCAGCTTCCCTGGTGGCGCAGTGGTTGGGAGTCCGCCTGCCGATGCAGGGGACACGGGTTCGTGCCCTGGTCCGGGAGGATCCCACTTGCCGCGGAGCGGCTGGGCCCGTGAGCCATGGCCGCTGAGCCTGCGCATCTGGAGCCTGTGCTCCGCAACGGGAGAAGCCATAGCAGTGAGAGGCCCGCGTACAGCAAAAAAAAAAAAAAAAATGTTTAAAAAGGTTGGCCCTTGGGCTGCGTCTGTAAACTTGGCTTTGGGGAGAGTTCCCACCAGCCTAACTGACAAAAGTGGCTCGCTATACCTAAATTGTTTAAATAAACAATGTGGTTTATGCTGAACAAATGCTTTCCTTTTGGGGCTTTTGAATTCTGGTACATTCCAGGAAGAAGGTGTCTACATGACCAACCTCTAATAAAAATCTTGGGTGCTGAGTTTCTAACAAGCTTCCCTGGTAGACAGCTTTTTACACCTCATTCCTACTTGTTGTTGGGGAATTAAGCACATCCTGTGTGACTCTACTGGGAGAGGACTCTTGGAAGCTTTACTTCTTTTCCCTAGACTTTGACCTATGTGCCTTTCCCTTTGCCAATTTTGCTCTGTATACTTTCATTGTAATAAATCTCAGTTGTCTGTACAACTATATGCTGAATCCTATGAGTCCTAGCAAATAATTGAACCTGGGGGTGCTCTTGGGGTCCCCCTACACAGGCTCTCGCAGTCCTAGCTTGAATCCTGCCTCTACCACTACTAACACTGTGAGATCTTAGGAAAAAATGACTTAGGATCTCTGAGGTTATTTCTGGGTTATTAAAACAAAAGGAATGGGGCTGGAATGTATAACTAATATATAAGGTTCCCTGTAGTTCAAAGATTCTTTAAATTATGTGATTATAGCTAAACATTGTCCTCAGATCAGAATTCAAATAGTTAAGAAAATATAAGCCTAAAAATAGAAATACTCACATATGAACAATTTCCTACCTGGTACAAGTCAACATTAACACTCAGAAATAAGGTGGGCTTTGAGTCACAAGCCCAAAGTATTAGAGTTCCATTTTTTTTTTTTTAGACTTTTGTGCCAGATTTGTTTTACAGAGAAAAATGATAATAAGTAACCAAACATGACACCCCAATATTCTGATGCTCCTTTATTAGCTACAACTATGCCCTCAATGCAAGAACGATGTCAAATAACCCAGCCATCCAATTATAAAATTTAAAAGGGAGCTGCTGTTTGGGGCCAGATAACTAGAAGATTGAAGAAAAATCAATTCCCTCCAATCGGATGTCCTGATGATCTCAACTACCTGAACTACATATGAACACCCTAAGGCTTGAGGGACAATATTGCAAGCCTATTATTATTAAGTAAAATAACACACTTTCTTTTAAATAAATACCTTTTACATTTTTCCGTGATTTAGAGGACTTCTTCTCCTTTAAAGTCTGATTTTTAACAGATTTTTGTTTTCTTTTCTCTTCTTCAGCAAGAACTTTCTGAAGCAAATGAGCAAAAAAATCGAAGTCAAAAGGGCGCTTTTCCTCTGTTTAAAAAAAAAAAAAGAAACTTCAAGTTTTTATTTTAAAAAAAGGAAAAGAACTTTCAAGTTTTAATTTTTCGTAAGTATAATATCAAAAGCGAATGGGCTTAGCAGCAGAACGGACAAAGAACTCTAATCACTGTAGTACAGTCAAACAACAGAACATCACTGAGCAATAAAAAGGAACAAACTATATTAGTTTAAAAAATAAAGAAAATGAACTACTGATACAAGCAATAATACAGGTGAATCTCAAAAACATGCTGAGTGAAAGAAGCCAAACACAAATGAGTATATACTGTATGATTCTATGAATAAGACGTTCTAGAACAAGATAAGCTAACCTATGATGATTCAAATGAAAATAGTAGTTGCCTGGGTCAGGATTAGGAGTGGAGATTGACTAGAAAGGGAAAGAAGTGGCCTCGCTGGAGTGATGAAAATGTTCCATGGCTTGTTTTGTGTGGTGGTTACACAGGTGTACTCTTTGTCAAAACTCAAACTATAAATTGCACTGTCCATAATTATAAATACACTTTTTTAAAAGGCTAAGATGATTAAGAAGTCTTCAAAAGCCTATCCACCACTTTATGTCCTCACTTTATTACAACTCTTTCACTATTAACTCTTACTCTTCCAAATATCAGCGAAGAGGATAGTAAATGAGTATTGATCAGGACCACTCTCACTAAATACCTATTACCAGTATTATATCAGAAACAGTAATCTATGAACAAACCAGAATGAATCTACTCCAGGAGTCAATCCTTGCCTCAGCTCTGTGTCTACAAATACAGTGAATACAGAGAAGTGAATACAGGGAAAATGGTGCTCTATATACATAAGCTCCAAGATTGTTCTGATTACAAAATGATCACAAGATGGCCTCAGAAAAAGAGGTATATACCAAAACAAAAGTAAATTAGCCTCAGGAAACTAAGCCCAAACCTGAGATTCTTGAAAGCCCTATTTTATTGTGGACCCAGCTTTTTATCTGTTCTGACCTTCCACATAAATGATTCTGAAAAACACAGCACTAAAATAATCCATAAAGTTCTCAGAGGAATTAAAAATATAAGTTCTAAAAAACACCATTTGGGTTTTTTTGTGTTTGTGTTTTAACAATTTCCACTAAAGCATCAAACAGTGAATTTTAAAGGTTCTATTATAATGGTTTTAACAATGGTTCCACACCCCATAAAGACTGTTTATAGATTTATGGACTCTTTTCTGATTATAATTCATTAAACATAACGAAAAGTTTCAAGACCACTTCTCTAAAATGGAGAGGGTTGAGGACTAAAATATTCCAGATATTCCAGAAGCCATTCCTAGAAGTGGTTTTCCTGAGGACTCAATACCACATTTGTAAGGTATAGGGTCCACTCATCTACCTTTGTGTCTACTCATAAAATAAATGTACATGCTATACAATCTAAGTACCTCTCTTTAGAATTTTTTTCTAAGATTAGCACTATGGCAAATGAACACTGAATACACTTATTAATCATGAAACGTTGGTAATTATATTCCAAACAAAGAATACAGGAACTACTTTAAATAGTACATTTAATTCTGTTTTTCTTTACAGATCCCTTGATGTAGTTCTCTGGACTTAAAAAGAAACAATGTTCATTTTAATGAGGTTATTAGTTAAAAGCTGAAAGGTATACATCATTTCTTCAAATCACGTCTAAATTCAAACGTCACCTATTCAGGCACTTCCTGGTGGCACAGTGGTTAAGAATCTGCCTGCCAATGCAGGGGACACGGGTTCGAGCCCTGGTCCGGGAAGATCCCACATGCTGTGGAGCAGCTAAGCCCGTGCACCACAACTACTGAGCCTGTGCTCTAGAGCCCACGAGCCACAACTACTGAGCCTGCGAGCCACAACTACTGAAGCCCGTGCACCTAGAGCCCGTGCTCCGCAACAAGAGAAGCGACCGCAGTGAGACGCCAGCGCACCACAACAAAGAGTAGCCCCCTCTCGCCGCAACTAGAGAAAAGCCCGTGCGCAGCATCGAAGACCCAATGCAGCCAAAAATAAATAAATAAAACAAATAAATTTATTAAAAAAAAAATCACGTCTTCAGACAGAACTTCCCTTAATACCCAATCTAAACACCCACCCCCTAACTCCCTCTTTTTTCTTCTTAGAAATTAATCACTATCTGAAATTATCCTGCTTACCAATTATATTCCTCCTCCACCCAATTAGACTTAAGGCTCTAAAAGCAGGATTCTCCATCTGCCCTGTTCACCATGATATCCTCAATGCCTACAACAGTGACTAGCACACAGCAGGTGGTCTGTATTACTGACTGAATGACAGACTTACCACAGTAGGTAAGGAATCATCTATAGTGTAATATCTTCCAGAAACAATTAACCTCTTCTTCAGTACAGTTCCCCCAGAATAAAGAGCACTTAGAAATAGTATCTTCAATCCCCCTAATTTCTTGGACTCAGAACTCTGCTTACTTGCTTCTTGATGTTTTAGCTATTCCCTTGCCTATAGATCTATATGAACTGCCAGACCTGAACTGCTAAAGAGAAAAATTTCCAGTCTTACTCTTCCTATGACAATATAGGGATGAAACAAATCTAAAACACACTGGAACCAAAGACAAAACATTGGTCATTTTTTAGAATCTCCAAATGATTCCTTGTGAAAGAGGTCTTAATACTTACGGAATGCTTTGTCTATTCTCCATCCATTTGTTTTCTCTTCACGTTTAAATTTATTCTGTTAACAAAACAAAACAAAAACTCTTTGGTAATTTTCTCCCATTAAACAAGTGGAGATTATGTCTTAAAAAAAGCATCAAAATAAAATTCTTATAATAACATATGATTCTCTAATAAATAATACGTCTTTGCTAATAGGTGAGTTACTTAAACCCTTAGCTTTTAAAAAATAGAAATGAAAGATTTATACTGAGCTCTGTGCTCCTCCTTATGATCAATAACATGAATTAGCAATGAAAACTGGATTTACAGAGGATAGAAAAAAAAATAAAGTCAACTAGCGTGGAAACAGATCAAACAGTAATCAATTAAGCTAACCAGTATTAACTCTTTAAAAACTAGTATATTCATATCAAGTTAAACCTCTTACATTATTATTCTGTTTTTAATGGCATGGAGGGGAAACTGTAAAGAAACAACTAAGCAAAATTTTGAAGCAGGCCAAGTTTATGTTTAGAAACTTCTTTATATTAAGAACATTTCCTCATGCTTTTCTGAGCACCAAAGAGCCCCATTCCCAATTCCACTCCAGATTACCTCCTTTAAGATGGAGATGGTTAAGGTTTAGGGTTCAATGCATCCTAAGGTCATTAGAAAGTCTGAGGGCATACACATACACAAACACACCCTGCAGGAGGGAACGATCAGCCAATCTCTCCCTTCTACAGATCAGTGGTCTGAAAGCTTTTATTAAAAATACAAAAATTGTTTTATTGGAAAAAAAGAGAGAAAAATCACACACAAAAAAGAACCTCTTCACGGCCTCATTCTTCCCTCCAAAAGAAACTACCCACTAACCTGACTTTATGTTTTTTATTAATTAATTAATTTATTTATTTATTTATTGGCTGTGTTGGGTCTTTGTTGCTGCACGCAGGCTTTTTCTAGTTGCGGCGAGTGGGGGCTACTCTTCGCTGCAGTGCACAGGCTTCTCCTTGAAGTGGCTTCTTTTGTTGCGGAGCACAGGCTCTAGGTGCTCCAGCTTCAGTAGTTGTAGCACGTGGGCTCAGTAGTTGTGGCTCACAGGCTCTAGAGCACAGGCTCAGTAGTTGTGGCACACAGGCTTACTTGCTCCGTGGCATGTGGGATCTTCCCAGACCAGGGATTGAACCAGGGACACAGTCCCCTGCATTGGCAGGTGGATTCTTAACCACTGCGCCACCAGGGAAGTCCTAACCTGACTTTAAAGCAATCACTTTCTTACATTTCCTCACTGTTTATCATCCAAGCGTACATCCTTAAGCTCTATAGTTTAGCCTTTCCTATTTTTTTAAAACTTCATGTGACTAACATCTTTCAACCTACAGATTATCCTTCTATTCCATTCTTTATTTTTCCTCATAAAACTTATTACCAAGTAGTATAGAAGTTTTCAAGGAAGATCATCTTTCTCCCTTAAAAGATCATATTATTCTTTAAACATTTCCTCAAAAGTTAACAAAAGTCAGGTCCACATGTAACAAAAGTCACATAAAAAGTGACAGACTACAATTACTAAATTAAACATCCTGAGAGAAATAACAGTAGGCTTTAGGCATTATTCAATTCTAAAACATTGCTACATCATATTTTACTTAATTGAGACTATAATCCAGAACAAGTTAAAATATTTTTGAAGAATGTATTGATGTTCATCATTTTTTTTTCTGGCCACCCCACACAGCTTGTGAGATCTTAGTTCCCGGACCAGGGATCAAATCCAGGCCCTAGCAGTGAAAGTGCAGAATTCTAACCAGTGGACCGCCAGGGAATTCCCTGATATTAATCATTGAATTCATAGGCAGGAACCACTGTAGGCCAAATTCCACAATTATAAAATAAATCCCATAATTTCCATCTCTGGCCCTGACCAAAACTGGTAACGGGCTTTTTCCACATATCCAACCCAACATAAATAATTTTAACACCAAGCAAAATAAATGCATCAACTATTTTCAAGCACTAGACAATAGGCAGAGCAAGACTACAATCCCACAATCCCAGAGAGAAGGGAAACACAAAAGATGTACCAACGTTCACACTGGCTGTCTGCCTGGGCTAAATTTCCTAACCAATGAAAGAGAGAAAAAGGCCAAACAGAGAACAGAGATCCTACTGAGCTGAGGAAGTAGATAATATTTAGGGGCAGGGTTCTACAGAGAAGAGAGCTATTTAAAGAGGAGTCTCACAAGCCTGGTAGAAGTATCCCATAGGCTGTTGGTCTGGGTTCCATATGCCCAGAGCATAAGCTCTAGTGGAGAACAGCTACTACAGGGACAGGAGCAAAAAGAAGATACTAGAGGTCACGTAACATAGTGAGATGACAGGGTTCTTCCCACATGAATGGAAAGATTTTGTTAACATCCAAACATTCACCTCAGACACCAGAACAACCACCACTTAGAGACAGGGATCACACCCTAGAGTAGCCTTTCTCAATTGAGGTTCTAGCATGAGAATTAAGCCCTAATGCCCTAAGGGATATACTACATGTAATGAATCACCTTCTTTCCTGTACACCTAGAATGGTGTAATATGACCACCCTTAGAAAAGATTAGAAAACAGTAACACAAATTATTTTCTGTAGTTCAGATGAGAAACCTAGAGTAAGGACCAGTCTTAATAAAGCCTAAAATCAAGCCTTGGGAAGAAGAAGGAGAGTTGACAATATATTAACTGCCTTCTAGAACTAAACACTCTTTAAAGGAAAAAAATACAAAATAAAAACAAACATAATCCAGACACTGTGCAACATATCCACAATGTCCAACATGCAACTGAAAAAAAAAATCCACAAGACATGAGAAAAGACAGGAAAATGTGATGCAGTCAAGGAAATGAAGAGTCAACAGAAACAGATCCCAATATGACCCAGATGTTGAAATTAGCAGACGAGAAAGTTAAAGCACCTGTTATATGTTCAAGGATTTGAAGGAAAATATGGAATGAGCAGATACAGAAATCTTAGCAGAGGAATGGAAACTAAGAAAAATAACCAAGGTGAAATCACAGAAATGAAAGGTATAATATCAGAAATGAAACATTCACTGAATGGGCTTAACAGCAGACTGAAGATAGCAGAAGACAGGATCAGTGAACTTATAAACATGATACCAGAAACTAACCAAACTGAAATAAAGAAAAAAGACTGGGAAAAAAAATGGACAGAGCTTTGGTAATCTGTAGTACAATGTCATGCAAACTAACACAGGTAAGCGGAGTACCAGAAGCAGGGAACAAAGCAGAAAAAACATTTTAAAAAACAACTCTTGGGCAAATCATAAACAAACTGCTGAACACCAAAGTTAAAGAAAAAATCTTGAAAGCAGTCATAGAAAAGCAATTCATATATATGTATAACTGAATCGCTCTGCTGTACAGCAGAAATTAACACAACATTGCAAATCAGCTATACTTGAATAAAATAAATTAAAAAAAAAAAAGAAAACCGGGCTTCCCTGGTGGTGCAGTGGTTGAGAGTCCGCCTGCTGATGCAGGGGACACGGGTTCGTGCCCCAGTCTGGGAGGATCCCACATGCCTCAGAGCGGCTGGGCCCGTGAGCCATGGCCGCTGAGCCTGCGCATCCAGAGCCCGTGCTCTGCAACGGGAGAGGCCACAGCAGTGAGAGGCCCGCATACCGCAAAAAAAAAAAAAAAGAAAAAAAAAGAAAACCTTAAAAACAAAAAAGAAAAGCAATTCATGACATGAATGACATGAGTGATGGCTGACTTTTCATCAGAAACACTGGAGGCCAGTGGACAATGGAATGACATTTTAAAAGCACTGAAAGGAAAAACTATCCAACCAGACTTGTATACCTAGCAAAAATGAGACTAAAAAAAGTCTTTCAGAAAAATGAAAGCTGAAAGAATTTTTCAACAGCAGATAGGGTATTCAGAACTACAAGGAGTGAAAAGCATCAGAAATGGTAAACATGTGGCTAAATATTACAGACTACAGTTGACTCTTGAACAACCTAACTTTGAACTGTGTGGATCCACTTAAATATGTGAATTTTTTTCAATAGTATATACTACAGTACTACACAATCCAAGTTTGGCTGAATCCATGGATATGTAACTGCAGATACAGAGGAATCGCAGATATGAAAGGCCAACTATAAGTTATACTCAGATTTTTCACTGCAAGGAGGATCGACACTCCTAACCCCTGCATTATTCAAGGGTTAACTGTAGTTTCTTTAATCTACTAAATTTCCATTAAAAACAAAAGACTCTCTAAGCTAAAATAAGTTCATGGGTAGTAGGGTTTATAAGTAGAAGTAAAACATGTAATAGAATGAAGGATGGAAGGTAAATAGAATTCTTCTTCTAAGAGGATATTATGTAAAGAGTAAAAAGGTACAACAGAAATAAAATACTAAAAAAATTTGATTAACCCCATTTAAAGCAGGAAAAGATGAGTAAAAAACAGATGGAATGAATGGGAAATAGTGAGATGGTAGACTTAAACACAGCCATATCAATTATCACATTAAACATAAATGAACTAAGTTGTTAACAGAAATGTAAAACAGACATTTTGTTTTATCAGGGGCAACATAAGAATACAATGAACATTTCCTGTAGATACAATGAATCTATCTACAAAACAGAAACAGACTCATAGACATAGAGAACAGACTTGTGGTTGCCTGGGGGGTTGGAGGGTGGGGAGAGGGATGGACTAGGAGTCTGGGGTTGGTAGATGCAAACTATTACATTTAGAATGGATAAACAACATGGTCCTACTGTATAGCACAGGGATCTATATTCAATATCCTGTGATAATAAACCATAATGGAAAAGAATATAAAAAAAGAATGTCTCTATGTGTATAACTGAGTCACTGCTGTACAGCAAAGATTGGCACAGCATTGTAAATCAACTATACTTTAATTTAAAAAATAAAAATAAATGATCTGTGCCAAAAAAGAAAAGAAAAGGAAAGGAAAAAAATGGATCAATCTAAAGAGAGAAACACAAATCTGTAATTGTGGTTAGATGTGTCAACTCTTCTCTCAGTAACTGACAGAACTAGATGACCCCACACCCAACAACTGCAGAACATAATTCATTTCAAGTGCACACTGACCAAGGTGAGAGTATGATAAGCTTTATTTATTTATTTTTTGGGGCCATGCGGTGCGTCATGTGGGATCTTATAACCCAACCAGGGATCGAACCCACACCCCCTGCAGTGGAAGTCAGAATCTTAACCACTGGACCGCCAAAGAAGTGCTGCAAGTATGATAGGTTTTAAAATAAATCTCAACAAATTTCAAAAAGCTTTAAATCTTACAGATTATGTCCTTTGACATTCAGAATGTCAAAGAAACAATAACAGTAAGATATTTAGAAATGTCCCAGTGTTGGAAATTAAACACACTTCTAAACAATTGACATGTCAAGGAAGAAATCACAAGGGAAGGACTTCCCTGGTGGCTCAGTGGTTAAGAATCCACCTGCCAATGCAGGGGACACAGGTTCAAGCCCTGGCCTGGGAAGATCCCACATGCCGCGGAGCAACTAAGCCCATGTGCCACAACTGCTGAGCCCATGTGCCTGGACCCCATGCCCTGCAACAAGAGAAGCCACCGCAATGAGAAGCAGGTGCACTGCAACGAAGAGCAGCTCCCACTCGACACAACTCGAGAAAGCCCACACGCAGCAACGAAGACCCAATGCAGCCAAAAGTAAATTAATTAATTAAAATTAAAAAAAAAAAGAAATCATAAGGGCAACTAGAAAATATTTTTAACAGAATGATAATGAAAACAGTGTATCAATATTATGGGATACATTTACAGCTTAGATGAAAATGTATAGCTTTAAATGTCTACATTAAAAAAGAAGGGTTTAAAATCTATGTTCTAAGTTTTCATCTAAGGAAGCTAGAAAAAAACAGAAAATTAAACCCAAAGTAAATACAGGCATACCTTGAGGATATTGCAGGTTCAGTTCCAGACCACTGCAATAAAGTGAATATCGCAATAAAGTAAGTCACACAGGTTTTTTTTTTTTTTTTTGGTTTCCCAGTGCACACAAGAGTTACATTTACATTACAGTGAAGTAGTCTATTAAGTGTACAATAGCATTATGTCTAAAAAAAGCAATGTACATACTTAATTAAAAAATATTTTATTGTTAAAAAATGCTAACCATCATCTGACAATGCAGATGGTTTGCCACAAACCTTCAATTTGTAAAAAAAAACGCAGTATCTGTGACATGCAATAAAACGAGGTATGCCTGAAGAAGGAAAGAAATGCTAAAGAGTTTTTTAAAAACCAATGAAAACACACAAACAATTGAAAACTTAACATAGCTAAAAGCTGGCTCATTAAAAGACTTTTGAAAGTCAAAAACCTTTAGCAAGACAAGAAAAAAGAAAAGAGAAAGAAAAATCATTAATCAATGAGATATATCACTATAAATCCTACAAACATTAAAATAGTAAGTGAATAGTATGAAATTTTTATGCCTATAAATTCAACAACTTAGCATCTAAACTGACACAAGAAGAAACTGAAACTATAAATACCCCTATATGTATTAAAGAAATTGCATTTATAATCAAAACCCTTCCTCCAAAGGAAACCATAGGCCCAGATGGTTTCACTGGTAAATTCTATCAAACATTAAAAGCAGGAATAATACTAATCTTAAACAAATTTTCTCAGATAACAAGAGGGAACACTTTCCAACTCATTTTCTATGACCACCATAACCTTGGTACCAAAAACACAAAGACACTAAAAGAAAATTATGAACCAATACTCTCATGAACAAAGATGCAAAAAATCCTCAAGAAAATATAACAAAAATCAGCAACATATAAGAAGAAGAATACAGTATGACTAATTGGGATTTATCACAAGAATACAAGGTTGGTTCAAAATGTGAAAATCAAGGACTTCCCTGGTGGCGCAGTGGTTAAGGATCCGCCTGCCAATGCAGGGGGACATGGGTTCGAGCCCTGGTCCGGGAAGATCCCACATGCCACGGAGCAACTAAGCCCGTGAGCCACAACTACTGAGCCCATGTGCCACAACTACTGAAGCCCGCGCGCCTAGAGCCCATGCTCTGCAACAAGAGAAGCCACCACAATGAGAAGCCTGCGCACCGCAACGAAGAGTAGCCCCCACTCACCGTAACTAGAGAAAGCCCATGCATAGCAACGAAGACCCAAAACAGCCAAAAATAAAATGAATAAAATTTTTTAAAAAAATTGAAAATCGATGTAATTCACTAGTCCATTTTTACTTTTCTATACTTTGCCCAAAGACCTGCTGGGACCACACTAGACTTTTAATGGAAGAGTCTAAACTGCTTCTAAAAGAAATAGTCTACTGACAAACTTATCATTAGTCACATCTGAGGGCTCCCCTATACGATCAACTTCTAGCCTTCACAGAACTTTAACATTCTGTTCTCCTTATATCAGAGATCAACATTTGAAAAGGAACATAAAGAATATAAAAAATCCCTCATCTTTTGCAGGAATAGAATGACTATTACACTGTACACTGGTTCCCAGCAAATCAGTCCATGCCTAGTCTAGTTCAAGAAAAAAAAAAATCTTTCTTAATGGTCCCTTTAATTAATGAAAGAAAAAGCCCATGGTTAGATAAAAATCTCACTATGAATTAGAAATGCACTAGAGCAACATGGTGTGCACTCAAATGCACTCCAACCCAGGAAACTTGTAATGAAGTTTCTCAGCAAAAGGAACTACAAGATAGAGAAAGATCATTCTTTTAGGCATATTAAAGCACTAATTGATTAACATCATTGCTGTTGTTAATAGTATCACTGGAAAAAAGAAAAATAGTATCACTGGTTGCCCCCAAAGTTAAGGTGGCCTAGGAAAGCAACGGTTAGACCAGATATTGAGAACTATATAACTCAGCATGTTCTCTTCCTAGGAAATTCAGAGATATATTTTGTGTTCAAAATATACCCTTAACCCAAAAGTTCTGGTACATTTATCTACCTTTTTCATTACCTAACTCTTCTTTTATCTTAGTTTCACCGGCTTTATTGGTACTCCCTCAAATCCATTTTAGAAATAGGAAGATATAAATAAGAAAATATAATACTGAGGTTAAAGAGATTGTACTCATTTTATTTTATTATTTTTTAAAATTTATCTATTTATTTGTTTCTTTTATTTTTGGTTGTGTTGGGTCTTCGTTGCTGTGCGCCGGCTTTCTCTAGTTGTGGTGAGCAGGGGCTACTCTTTGTTGCGGTGCACGGGCTTCTCATTGCAGTGGCTTCTCTTGTTGCGGAGCACAAGCTCTAGGCATGCAGGATTCAGTAGTTGTGGCACGTGGGCTCAGTAGTTGTGGCTTGTGGGCTCTAGAGCGCAGGCTCAGTAGTTGTGGCACACGGGCTTACTTGCTCTGCGGCATGTGGGATCTTCCCAGGCCAGGGCTTGAACCTGTGTCCCTTGCATTGGCAGGCGGATTCTTAACCACTGCGCCACCGGGGAAGCCCTGTACTCATTTTAGAATTGAGAAATACTACATTACTTTTTGAGCTATAAAGAAGGACAGATGTACCAAAAACACAGTAGTGAAAAAGGATGGACTGAGATTTCAACCAAAGGTTAAAAAAATAGTAATTTTTAGTCTCTTTTCGATCAACAAACATAATGGGTTTACTTTACCTTAATTTCTATCCTTGCTCTGTGAGGAAAAAGCTGTCCAATCATAGAAAAGTCAGTTCCTACCATGCTGATGGCTAAGAAAAACATATCTGTTTCTGTAAAAGTAGAAGATTTAGAAAGACTGAGAATAATCTTCTAAATATTTCAGAGGAAAAATAATCTTACCTAAGTATATTTTTTGAGTTAAAAATAAATCTGACAGTACTTAAGTTTTTTATTAAAGTCCAGTAAATCTTTTATCATAGAAATATATATCTACATACACGTACATAGACATATCTCAATTTTACTGCAAGGAACCTCATGGATCTATAAACACCTTCTTTAAACTTTTATATAAAAACATGGTTTAAGAAATTTGCATGTTCAAACCAAAGCAGCTGGAATTTTTAAAAAGACATTCTGCCTATCTGGTCTCAAGTGCCTTGAAGAAAACTGTCAGTCATAACCAGTATAATACTGCTGCTACGTAGGCAACTAAGACGTTCTAAGTAGTATGTGAAAGAAAGTAGCTAGAAAAATACACAAGAAATTGCTAATAGAAGTAACCTCAAGAGGACAGGATTGGGGAAGTCAAAGAAGTGAATCTTTCTTTTCATTCTGTATTATTCTGTTGTGTCTGAATTTTTTCCCAAAATAAACTGTATTATTTTTATAATAAAAGTAAGTACTAAGCAACAGCTTGCAATAGGTAATATATACTTTTCTAACTGTGTACTTTTTATCCTTAAAGACTGTGTTACACAATACTGAGGTAGAACATTATTAGGAGCATTAAAAATATTGTTCATTTTTCATTAAAATGGTATTTGTTGTACAGGGATTTGACAAAGAATATTCCAGCCAAAATGACCATAATGCTAACTCCTCAAAAGATTTCTAAGATAAAGTCAGAGGTATAGTCCCACTGTGGGGGGCAGGGGAAAGGTGCCAATAAAATTAGCTAGAGAAAAAAATTTGCTAGTTTGTTTTTTTTTGGTTTTTTTTTTTTTACTTAGGGGAGACCTGGTTTAATTCAGAAACCGAGAAAATAATTCACCTTATTTCCAATAAATAATCTACACAATTTAAAATGAAAATCAGTTACCTTTATTTGACCATGGTTTAGAGTAATAGTTTTTCCTAAAGCTGGAGTATGTAGTTGTAGAACCACGCTCAAATATGGGGTCATTTTCCTCAACAACACAGGGGCCTTTGGTCCTTAAAACTTCTACAGTTAAACTGAAAAACAAGTAAGGAAACAAACAGTAAGTGAGATTTTAATAGCTATATTTTGAAATTTACCATGGTAAAATCATATCAAAAGTATAATATACATTTGAAGTATGCATATTTTCCAAGAATCTGCAGATTTTCACTCTAGGAAGCAAAAAGAAATGTCAACTTTTTTTCAAAATCCTTAACAGCAATATAAAATTTACAAAATATCTTTAGGCCACCTAAATAATTGTTTTTTACTGACTTCTGCATGTCCCCTATATTTAATATGTATTATCTTATCATGCAATACCCAACAGGGGATACTGCGAAATATAAGCATTTTATATTTACATTTTATATTCCTGCACACAAAGCAGTTAAATATGCTTTTAAGAATTTAATTACCAATAAAATCATCATCACCAAATAGTGGAAACAATATGCAAAAACAATTATCATTAATAGCATTACATTTACGTTTATCATAGAATTTACATAGTATAAAACAATTTATTACTAATAAAACTGTCAGAAGACTTTCCATCCCTCTTTTTTATTTCCTTACTAATTTAACTTCCTTTTTTATTTTTAAAAATATTTATTTAGGGGCTTCCCTTGTGGTGCAGTGGTTGAGAGTCCGCCTGCCAATGCAGGGGACACAGGTTCGATCCCTGGTCCGGGAGGATCCCGCATGCTGCGGAACAACTAGGCCTGTGCACCACAACTACTGAGCCTGTGCTCTAGAGCCCATAAGCCACAACTACTGAGCCCACGGGCCGCAACCACTGAAGCCCGCACGCCTAGAGCCCGCACACCTAGAGCCCGTGCTCTGCAACGAGAGAAGCCACCGTGGTGAGAGGCCCACGCACCGCAGCAGGGAGCAGCCCCCGCTCGCCACAACTAGAGAAAGCCTGTGTGCAGCAACGAAGGCCCAACACAGCCAAAAACAAATAAATAAATTTATAAATTAAAATATTTATTTATTTGGCTGCACCAGGTCTTAGTTGCAGCACACAGATCTTCGTACCCTCGAACGGGATCTTTAGTTGTGGCACGCAAGAATCTTTTAGTTGCGGCACGCAGGATCTAGTTCCCCGACCAGGGATCGAACCTGGGCCCCCTGCATTGGGAGCACGGAGTCTTAACCGCTGGTCCACCAGGGAAGTCCCTTATCTTCTTTTTTTAAAAACACACATTAGAAAGAAAAAAAAAAAAAACACATTGGAAAGACAACTAAATTCCACAATGCCAAATTTGAGAAATTTAATGTTATAACTAAGAAATTAAGCCAGAAAGTCAATTAAAAATCATAAAATATGTTAAACCTATGTTTCATTGTATTTTCAATAGTTAACACCACACACCAGAATATGGTATTAGTTAATAATACATAGCTTGAATATTGACATCAAGGCTGAGTTAATCTTCGAAATATATTCTCAGTGGAGGACATCATGTGATTAGTTCAATAGCTCATCTCAATTACCAGTAAAATTAGTAAAACAATGGTAGTAGGTTAGTGGGTGGCAGGTCAGCAGTACCATCTTCTCATATAAAGGACAGCATTATAAAAATTTCTGAAAATTATAAATGAATGTAACCCATCTTTCTATTTATAACATCCATTATGCAAATATAAACATTAGAGTCTAAGTGACAGTGATAAATACAGAAACTCAATGTCTCTCATTAGACAAAGCTCATTTGTTCTCATAAAACCACAATCTATCTCTCTCTCTTTTTTAACTTACCTTTCTTCATCCAAAATAATAGAACCATCTTCTGCCACTTTTACTCGAGGAACCAGCAATGGCCCATCATCCATCTCCTCTTCTATTTCTTCATTATCTTCACCATCAGGAGTACTCTTACCTTCTTGCCTACCAAATGTAAAGGTAGGTTAATTCATACAGCTATGAGAAATATTCCCTGAACATTATGAACTTCTAAAACAAATTACTGCACTTTCAACCTTCTAGCTATTTCCCACTTTCCCTATAACCTAATTGAAAATACTATGTGTTGTTAAGGCCATGGTTATAAGATTTTCTCAAATTTTATCTAGTAGCATTTAATAGGAGTCTTTACTCTATTAAAGAGAAATAAATGCTCATCTTTTCTATCTCAATAGAGTATAAGAGTAAACCATCCAATAGTATGGAATTAACAAAAATAACCCTTACAGCATTAGTTTCCAGATCATGTTATTACCTCTTCAGAACAACCCTTGGGGGTTAGTTTTTCATGCCCATTTGAAACTTGGAGAAGATAAATTACTTTTGCTCTAGATTACACAACAGTAAGAACAGACCAAGAAGCCAAACAGTTTTCCAAATAATGACTCCAAATTCCATATACTTTCCATTCAATTACATTATCTCTTTAAGGTCTTATTGAAAGAAACGTAACCTATAAATCTGTAAAAACATAACTATTTCTGAAGCTTGTGAGTTCTGCTTTAAAACAATGTGGATTCTAAGAAAGAGTAATCATTACAGGGAATTTCCTGGCAGTCCAGTGGTTAGGACTTGGCGCTTTCACTGTCGTGGCCCGGGTTCAATCCCTGATTGGGGAACTAAGATCCGGCAAGCCACACGGTGTGGAAAAAAAAAAAAAAGAGTAATCATTACTTAATGATTGTTACTTGAAGCAACAACCAGAAAGTCCCAATGTTTCTGCTAATTTTGCACAATTCCCTACCTTGAATTACAAGTCTACAATAACTTCCTAGGAGGTCTCTTAGAGGGATTTCTTAGGAATAAATTAATATATGACAGTGAAGGCTTGAACACAAAAAGAGACTCTCTAACTGGCATCAAAACTATACCTACTGAAAAAACAAAAAACAAAACTATACCTACTGAAGGACAGTGTATACAAAATGCTTAAAAAAAAAGAAAAGGAAGGGGAAAGGAGAAAGGAAAGAAAAAGGAGGAAATAGAAAAAAACTATATGTTTGCTTGCATAGACATAGACTAGCATTAGAAAGATAAGTTAAAAATGTGGTAACATTTGTGGCCTCCAGGAAGACGGACTAGACGGCAGAAAAACAAAATTGGAAAACTTTTCTCAGTACACTTTTGTTCCTTTTGAATTTTGTACCATGTGAATATTATTATTCTGAAACAAAACCTTTTTTAATTCTAAACGCTTTAATTTAAAATCATAACTCTATTTATACATGTAATATACAAGGAGTGTGAGGCTTTCATGTTGACTTAAATCAAGCAGTAACTTTTATTCTTGTGATTCCATTTAAAAATTCCTATCACATGTAATTTAACTAAAACAGGAAGCATCATTTGATTTCTTTTTTTTTTTTTTTTTTTTGTGGTACGCGGGCCTCTCACTGCTGTGGCCTCTCCCGTTGCGGAGCACAGGCTCCGGACGCGCAGGCTCAGCGGCCATGGCTCACGGGCCCAGCCGCTCCGCAGCATGTGGGATCCTCCCGGACCGGGGCACGAACCCACGTCCCCTTCATCGGCAGGCGGACCCTCAACCACTGCACCACCAGGGAAGCCCTGATTTCATTTTTTTAAAAAATTTACCCATAACAGAATATATTCAAAACAGATGAGATGCTTACTCTCTCGTCTGGACTGGTGTCAATGATTTTTCAGTTTTCTTTTCTTGCTCCAGTGAAGAACTATTAAACACAAGTCAAAACATACCTTTTAATAAATAAGTAATTTATATTTTGTCAATTCTATCTGAGGAAGAAGCAAATAATTTTAACTTGCAATTTTTTAATGATATACCATAACACTACCATTAATGATGGTGTGGTCCAACACTCCATTTTTCAGTCAAAAACTTTTGTCATCAATATAAATAATTTGTTAGGCCCTAAGTAGGGAACACTCTTCCCTCTAATTCCTCAGTGAAGGCATGAAACAACCTAAGTGGCTTGTTTCCAACTCCTAGACGTCAAACAACTCAAAACCTAGGTTTCTGGCTCTTCTCTTAACTAAGCCAAAGATGTACTGAGCCTGAAAAAGACTACACTGAAAATATGCCATTACTCCTACATCCACCTGCTACACCATCAACAACACAGTGAGGAGATTTATTATAAACTCTCTGCCTCCCCAGGCTAACTTTGATTAAAGAAGCTTTGTTCTTGGAGGATTTGTTAATCTAATGCCACTGTATTTAATGAGGAGGTAGGATACAAAAATAAGATCACCCCTTTAGATCACCTTATAGTATGTAAGAAATGTAAATGGCAAACTTGATTAGAGAAAAGTTGTTTAGTTGGTTTTACTGCATCTCGGTAATAAAACAAAAGAAATTTTTTTTTAATCTCAGAGGTAAAGGGCATCTTTACCATCCCAAGAAAACAGTTACTTGAAATAGCACTAATTTTTTTTGTGGTTTTTTTGGTTTTTTTGGCTGTATTGGGTCTTCATTGCTGTGTGCAGGCTTTTTCTAGTTGCGGCGAGCGGGGGCTACTCTTCATTGTGGTGCGCGGGCTTCTCACTGCAGTGGCTTCTCTTGTTGCGGAGCACGGGCTCTAGGCACATGGGCTTCTCTTGTTGTGGCTCACGGGCTCTGAGGCGCAGGCTCACGGCTCTGGGGCGCAGGCTCATTTGTGGCACACGGGCTTAGCTGCTCCGCGGCATGTGGGATCTTCCTGGACCAGGGATCGAACCTGTGTCCCCTGCATTGGCAGGCAGATTCTTAACCACTGAGCCACAGGGAAGTCTGAACTAGCACTAATTTTTGTTATAAAATTCTTATCCAAAGGACATCATATGTGCTATAAATTTTGTCAACATGTTGTTGGAAAACATGAAACCATACTTTAAAAGTGATACTTACTTAAATCACTATATACTCAAAGAAAGTAAAATAGAAATAAAGTTTACTTACGTCATTGGATTGTTATTTGGCAGGTAATATATGAAGTCTCTCATAGTCATTTTGGAACGATCTGGTGGCCTCTGACTTTCATTTACAGCATATTTGTTTTTCCATTGCTTCTAGATACACAAACACACAGAGATACACTTCTATAAATATAGAAGAATTTTAGGGGAATTCCCTGGCAGTCCAAAATAATAAAAGTATTATTTTAAAAAATAAAAATAAATTTTAAAAAATTTTAAAAAAGAAGAATTTTACATGTATATATTTAAGTATACAGCCTACTGCTGTATTCATTGCAAATGCTTGAAGATTATTCCTATCACAATTATGCCTAATTTGAGGAAAAAATTTATAAACTTATATTAAAAAGTTGTAGCACATAAAGGAATTTTAAAACACTAAAGTGACTGGGACTTGGGACTTCCCTGGCGGTCCAGTCGTTAGGACTCCAGGCTTCCACTGCAGGGAGCCGGGGTTCGATCCCTGGTCAGGTAACTAAGATCCTGTGTGCCACGTGGCACAGCTAAAAAATAATAAATAAATAAATAAAGTGACTGGGACTGCATAAAAGCTCAACGTATAAAATCATGCTTACTGATGCTGACTAACTACAAGTGTACTGAAAATTTATATATAGCTTTTATTTGCCCTGTAGTGAGTTGGAATTCTGTATATTTTATAAAATTCTTGAAGCAAATTTTTAATTCCCTCAAATAAATCTAATTAAGCAGATTCTATAAAACAGAGAACATTTTTAGAGGCTTAGATTTTAGAAGATATGAATTCAAATCCCATATCCTCCACTGATGTTTGACACAAAGCAAACAACCTCTCTGAGCTTATTTCCTCCTCCTCCTGTGTAAATAGTGATAGCCACTTCGCACAGCTGAGATATTTAAACGAGATAACGAATATAAAGCACCAAGGGGGAATTCCCTGGCAGTCCAGTGCTTAGGACTCCATGCTTTACTGCCAAGAAACTAAGATCCTGCAAGCTGTGCGGCACGGCCAAAAAAAAAAGCACCAAGATAAGTGCCTTCCTCTTAGTTAAAAAAAGGAGGGCATTCTATAAATTAATAATAAGAGCTGACATTTGTCAGGCTCTTACTATTTGCTAGACACTAGTCTAAATTTGTCAATTTAGAAAACATCACCAATTCATTTTGCTCAACTACACTTGTCTTAATTCAAATGAATATAACTCGCGTCAATTGGACATCTTCAGGAAAAATCTCACTGAAGGTTTAGTTTATAAATACATCTGTACGTGTATCTGTATATGTGTGTGCACACACGTAAAACTTCTGTTTGTGGCCTCCGCCAAAAACAATGAAAGATATAGATAAAAAATATATACAAAAATTAATATCGTGGAAAAAATAGCTTATTAACTCTATAGTGCTTCTCAATAGTTCTGTTAACAAAAGGGGATATTCTGGGACTTCCCTGGCAGTCCAGTGGTTAAGACTCTGCGCTTCCACTGCAGGGGGCACGGGTCCAATCCCTGGTTGGGAAAGATCCAGCAGCCAAAAAACAAACAAACAAACAAAAGGGGATATTCTATTAACATGAGGGATGTTACTTGGTTTTGTTTCCCTCATCAAAATGCTACAGATGCTTGTTCTTCCTCCGAATGATGCCTAACATAAAAACAGAAATCTAGCAGGCAACAGTCAAAATTCTGATTTTTCTACCATACCTTCTCTTTCCTCAATTCTTCTTTTAACATTTCTCTCAGTTTCTGGGCTTTATATATTCGGTATCTGTCTGAGCATGGCTGTTTCTCTTTTGTTGGAACAGAGTTTGGCTGTGGAGTTTCTTGATTAACTGTAGATAAAGGATGAGGTTCTGAAGGAACACTGACACTAGGTTTAACCAGACTAAAAGTACTTGATACTCGCTTTCTTCTCTGTGAAACAGTAGAGGAAGATTTACTGGATTCTTCAACATCCTTCCCACCATCAGTCTTTTCATCACTGTTGAAATTTTAAAAGAAAAAAATAAGGGCACCATGGATCTTCTTTTAAATATTTCAGCCTTAACAACTAGTCTGACAAAAATCCAAAAGAGCAAAATCTCATTATTAATAATCAATGACTTCAACAGAGGTTGCAATAAAATTTTTGTTCAGTACATCTTTTTAACAGATATGGAATCCTAATGAAGACTGATGATCCTTTTCAAACTTCAAATCCCTAAAAACATTATAGCACATAATTTTATGCTCATGCTAGGTACCTCAAAAAACAAACAAAAAAACCTAAGTTACAAAACAAAGCTTAATTTGCCTTATTTGAATTATTCGATAACTGAGAGATTTGTTTTCTTTTGATCTAAAAAAAATTTTTTTAATTGAAGTATATAGTTGATTTACAATATTATATTAGTTTCTGGTGCACAGCATAGTGATTCAGTATTTTTACAGACTGTACACCATTAAATGAGAGTTGTTTTTTAAAATTAAGTTTATAATCCACATTGACACTTCCTAAAGTGATCTAAATTTTTGGCATTTTACTTTAATTATCAACTTGAGATCAGTTAAACCAAACAAAATATCAAACCTCTGAAATATTTGTATTGCAGTATTTGAAGACATTCATTTAGCTACATTAATCAAACCAAATTCTGTTTGAGGCAAAAATCATTTATCTTTTGTCAGGTATAACTCTACTTATTCAGCTATCAAAATAAACTCTTCACTCAAAAAAAGTACTCAGTCACTTCAAATTACATATCCAAATTCAGATTGGATATAAATATTTCAGGAATTGCCTAAAAGCAAATTAAGAGGGTGTAAGTCAAGAATTAAAAGCAGTCTACTTTTTTCATATGTTATGATTAGTTTTATATAAAAGTGAAAAAATGCCTAAACTATAGAATAACTTTTCCAAAAAGTATCCAATTTAAATTCTTATCTCAGCCCTTATAATGTGATACATGTGCCATTTGCATTTCACCCAATCAAGATGAATGCATAAGGACAGAACATATACCCTATGGATTTTTACAATTAGCAAAGACCCACCAAAAGAAAAAGGAAACACATGATAAAAAATCAAGTATAGTCCCTAAATGTCAAGTCTAAGAAAGCAATATCCTTGAGCTTAAATGTCTCAAGACTACAGGATAAGTAATTTACTAAATTATCAATAATCATACATTCACATGAAGTTAACAGGATCTCTGTGAACTTTATTAATTTAACAGTAACTGGTATTTCTATTCCACTGTTGGGAGAAATTCTGAAACAAATTCATGTAAGAAACTTGGAAATTACTAAGCATCATTAAGCTATCAAAATAATACTCTATACTAAGCACCAGCTGAGGTCAACAGAAGCCAAGCCAAAAGAGAAAAGAATAAAATTGTCACCTTCCTGTCACAGTATAAATTTATACCATCTCACTGTTATTTAATAGGGTTGATTTTCATTGGTTTCCTCACATTTATAGTATTAAAACAGAGGCCATTATTAGCTCAACATGTCTTAACTTTAACTACTTTGCTCCATCACCTTTAAACACCTAAAGGTAGGCAACTATTCTGTCATGTCCCGTGCAAGACAGTTTATATCAGTTATTTCTAATCTCCACAATAAAGAGTTACATTATCCCCATTTTGCAGATGAGTACATTCTGCCTGGGCAAAGTCCATAAACTGTTAACTTAAGTAGAAGAATCCTGAATCTAAATGTGGTACAAGACACATGCTTTTCTGTTCAGAAAACATGGTCACCATAGTTAAAGGGGCACACCCTCAAATCAAAACAAGTAACCGGTTCCTTTCCATTGACATAAATCAGCAGAATCAAAGTAACACTGCTCTTCTTTTAAAAATAAATGTTTTCAAGATTAAAAAAAAAAAACAACTTACTCCCGTAAAGTACTCCAAAAGAATGAAAACTGCGATAATCTAAATGCTCTAATGAATAGAACCACGTGTGGATTTTCTTGAAGATTGCTAGACCTGGATTCCTCCCACCACCACTTGAAGACATGGTCGCCTCCCCGAGAATCTACACGCTGTAACAAAATCCACACTTGCCTCACCGTGGTTAGAGGGACCAACTACAGTTGGCAGTGTGTTCCTCGGCCTCAACTGTCAGGCTTAGTACAAGCGAGGGGGTACTTCTACGGTAAAGTTTCTTTGCTTAGCTTCCAGGTGACACGCCCGGAGAGGCGGGGCAGATGAAAATGCTCCCCTCTGCAAGTACTTACCTGCTCTTGGGAGTCTTTTCTCGGAGCTCCTTTTCCCCACAATCCACCGGGGGCACATCTGTGGATTCCTCTGGCTCCGGGACAGAGGCCGCTGCAGGCTCCGGCGGCCTGGGAGCCTCTCGTTCACGCTGTGGATTGGGGGCGGTGGAGCCCCTGGCGCCTGCTCCAGGCCTGACATTGGGCTTCACGCTAAGGCGTGCCCTGCGGAACATGGCGGAGCCAGGGGGCCCGGGGAGGCGACCCCACGGCCGCTCTCAACCCCGAGCCCCGACCGCTGCCTGGAGAGGGCTTTAGGAACTACGCCCTTCCCACAAAGCCACACCAACAGCCCAGCGGGCAGCTACCGCAGTTTCACGCCCCCGCCGCCGCCTCCGATCTCCCGCCACCGCCTCTTCTTCATGACCCTGCTACACTAATAGCTAAGTTTCCCCCGGTACCTCGTTCCCCGCCCTCAGAGGGCGCCGGAACTGATTACGTCATCATCCAGCGCCGCGGAATGACGCACAGCACCGGAGCCATGGTAACCGTCAAGTTATGGAGCCTGGGTTACCGGTGAACCAGAAATTGAGACGCTAGACGGTGTACTCTTTCTTCTCCAGGGCTCCTTAGGATTTGTTCAAAAGAGCAGAAGGAGGTAGGCAGTCCTTCAGCCCAAACTCTTACAGGAACTATTAAAATCCCTGGCCGTAGGACTTCCCTGGCTGTCCAGTGGTTAAGACTCCGCGCGTCCACTGGGGGTGGTGCGAATTCCATCCCTGGTTGGGAACTAAGATCCCTCAAGCTGCGCGGCGAGGGGGGGGGGAGGGGGGGGTGAGAATGCAGGCAAAAACAAAAACAAATTGCTGGCTTTTTTTTTTTTTAAGAGGGTCCTGTAGAACGCTGCCTGTTCATCAGCGCATCCCTAAGGCTTAAAAATTCTAAAATGAAAAAAAAAAATTCTAAAATGAGGAACTTCCCTGGTGGCGCAGTGGTTAAGAATCTGCCTGCCAATGCAAGGGACATGGGTTCGAGCCCTGAGCCCTGGCGGGGGAAGATCTCTGTGCGCCACAAGTACTGAGTCTTAGCTCTAGAGCCCGCGAGCCACAACTACTGAGCCCATGTGCCACAACTACTGAAGCCCGCGCACCTAGAGCCCGTGCTCCGCAAGAAGAGAAGCCCTCACACCACAACGAAGAGTAGACCCCGCTCACCGCCAACTAGAGAAAGCCCAAGCACAGCAACGAAGACCCAACACAGCCATAAATAAATAAATATATATTTTTAAAAATTCTAAAATGAGTAAAACATAGATTAGAAATTAAAGTGTGAAGAAAGTGCTAATAGATAACTCCTAGGAAGGGAACTGAGTTCCTGGGAAACACATCGTGGGAAAAAAGAACATTCACTGTATACCCTTGTTTACTTTTTAATGTGAATGTAATACCTGTTCAAAAATTATTATAGTTAATGGGAATTCCCTGGCGGTCCAGTGGCTAGGACTCCGCGCTTTCAGTGCTGAGGGTATGGGTTCCATCCCTGATCAGGAAACAGGTCCCGCAAGCCCTGCGGCACAGCCAAAAGTTTAAAAAGAAGAAAAAAGGAAAAAAATATGGTTAAAACTTTGTAAATTTTTAAAAAAATATGTTATTAGGCTCATTTTAGGAGAAACATGGAACTTTTTAAATATATATATATATTTCTAATTTATTTTGCTGCACTGGGTCTTAGTTGCTGCACTCGGGATCGTCATTGTGGTATGCGGGATCTTAACTGGTGGCATGCATGCAGCATCTAGTTCCCTGACCAGGGATCGAACCCCGGGCCCCCTGCAGTGGGAGCTCAGAGTCTTACCCACTGGACCACCAGGCTAGTCCCAAAACTTTGTAAATTAACGTGAGCATTCTTAATCTGCTTCAGGAGAGAGCAACTGAGCAATAAGCAAGACATTCTGTGTGGGAAAGGAAAATTCAACAAATGAACAAGATAATTTAAGAATTATTAAATGCCATGAAAGAAATTTATAGGGTGATATGACAGAGGTTAATGAGAGGCTGGTTTACTTTATGTAGGGTGGTTAGGGAAGTCCTCTATGATGAGAGGAAAAACGTCCAGAGATGAGGCTGACTCTAGAGATTATGGGCCAGTGTTTGAACCAGTAGTACAATTCCCCTGATGCATAGAAAACAAAGGCCTGACTTCCTTCTTGGAAGGAGAAGAAAATTCTACAAGAACATCCTGCTACATTAATGACAAAATGTCAAAGGAATAAAATCCCGAACTGATTGAAGAGATTGCTAGGTCCAGAAGGAGAAAGAAGAGAGACAAGTGTTTTTAAGAGTAGGAAAGCAAGACTGAAAGTACAGAGACAAAAGATTCTTTCAAGACTGGGAAGGAAATGGAGGTCTGTGGGCTCCCTCCAGTACTCTGGAGAGGGAATAGGACCTCAGACACACCTAAGGAAGCTCAAGGACCTGAGAAAAATAACCCCTGCTGCAGATATCTCAGGAATCTTGGAGCTACTGCCAGAACCATACAGCTTTGAACAACATATTCCAGTATAGACTGAAGACATAAGGCCTTTCCCCAAACGCTCTGTTTCACCTAAGAGTCTATGGTATTCCCACATTTCTGCAGGTAAAGAAGTAAATAATGACTAGGATTTAATTTCCTATTTGTAAAGGGATGGGAACAGAGTCAGATTCAATTTTACTATTTAACATAAAATCATAAGCTATTTGTTACACATCCCAAGTTTGTACAGTGTTTTTTTTCGAATTTTTGAATTTTATTTTATTTACTTTTTTATAGCAGGTTCTTATTAGTCATCAATTTTATACACATCAGTGTATACATGTCAATCCCAATCGCCCAATTCATCATTTTAAAATAATTCTGAGACTCGCGTTTTGATCGTGACTCAGCTCACGGCTAGCTGTGTGACCTTGGGCGGTCACATAATTCCTCCTAGTTTGTACCGTCTTAACGGCATCATAGTAATTTTAAAAGTCTCTAGTTTTCTCTGGCAGACACACCCAACATTCCTTGTATGCATGGGATACATCATGTGTATCCCTACAACTCAAAAACTATATTTTCAGTTGCAAAGAAAAAGCTCAATTAGACTCTTAAGACCACATACAGAAACAACTCTACTTAAGTTCAATCCCAAACTCCTTCCCTCCCTTCCTCTTTAGATGGTCTCTTTATCTCTATAAAGAACCTGGCCAGAAAGTCAATCTTTTCCCCTGCTCAAGTTACTGCAGAAGAGGTCCCTAAGTGGAGACACCTGGCCTGTAAGCAGTATTGAGGAGGAGGGGTGGGACGTAGGGAGAGTGATAAGCATGAAAGGCTCTCTGAGGTTGAAAGAATGATGACAAGTATAGCTAATATGTTGAGTGCTATCCTGTGCTGGGCACTTACTACTTCACATATATTAATTTGATTAATGAAGGAGGTACAGTTACCTCCCCATTTTACTAGTAAGGAAGCTTTAATGCAATGAAATGACATTCCCAAGTTCACACAACTACTCATTGGGAGAGCTTTCAACCCAGACATTCCATCTCCAAAACCCTCAGGTAATTTTTATGAGATGAAATACAAATTGTTGAAGCTTGGTCTTATATACTTGGAGGTCCATTATAGTATTTTCTATACTTTTGTATATGTTTGAAATCTTCCAAATTAAAAACTTTAAAAAAAAAAAAGGGTGATTTCAGGGTGTCCAGACTAACTCTACACATTTCTCAGTTTGTAATAATTAACGGAATAGATGAAGAAAATAAGTATCAAGCATCTTTACACGTCTGTTTCTAGCAATGGCAGATGCTCCATAGCTTTTACGTAGGTTTAAGGTTATTCTGGGCTATTCTGAATTCGTGGTAAGACTGCATTCCCTAGCATTCTCTCCCCATCACACAACCCAGGCACAGAGCCACAGAACTCCTAAAGTACTGTCGACCGTGACAAGCGCACTGGGATCAAACGGGAAATGAACAGACTTTAGAGTCCGTTTTAAATTTGAATCTTATTTCTACCCGTCCCTACCTATTAGGTCAGCGCTTCTGGTCTCAGAGTCTCAGTTGCCTGTTTCGTAAAATGAGAACAACGAAGTCTACCTTGCAGGCTTGGTGCGTGAATAAAGAAGGAAAATATGGGGCTTCCCTGGTGGCGCAGTGGTTGAGAGTCCGCCTGCCGATGACAGGGGACACGGGTTCGTGCCCCGGTCGGGGAAGATCCCACATGCCGCAGAGCGGCTGAGACCGTGAGCCATGGCCAATGAGCCTGCGCGTCCGGAGCCTGTGCTCCGCAACGGGAAAGGCCACAACAGTGAAAGGCCCACGTACCAGAAAAAAAAAAAAAAAAAAAAAGAAACTATGAAGGGCCAACACTGGCTTTCAAAGAGTTAACCCTCAATCTGTTCTGTCCCCTTCCTCCCTTTCCCGCCTCTGCAACGGGATGAAAAAAAGCTAACTTTCCTTTTCGAAAAGTTAGATATTGTAGCGTTTAACGTCGTTATCAAAAAAATAGGGGCTGGCTAAGTCCCAGTGACCGGTATACCGAGGGAAAATCTACACACGTCTATGCCTCGCTCAGACACAGGGCCGCTTTCTCGACTTTAGCAAACTTGCACGGCCGAAACGCCCCGGGGGCGGATGACTAACCCCGGAGCTGCGGCTCCTGGGCCCTAGTCGGGCACCGCCCCGCCCCCCCCCCACCGGCCACGCACGCGCAGTCACTCGCCGGCCACGGCGACTGCTGTTGTCTGGCTTCGTTGGGCTGGGCCGTCCACGGAGCACAGGCGTGTCCCTGCTGAGGGCCCGCGCGGGCTTGACTTCCAGATCGACGGGTGGGGACGGCCGCTGAGCGTGCGAAGAAGTCTTTGCTTTTCCGAGCCGCTCTTTTCCAGGGTCGGTCCGGTGGTCAACATGGCCCGTGAGTATGCGGACGGGTAGGGGAAGCGGCGGGGAGCGTCCGGCGAGGAAGTCGAGCTCCAAGGCGCGGCGGGCGGGCAGGCTGGGGCCAGCTGGTGAAACCCCTTACGTCCGGCGCGGTGGTGACCCGGTTTTTAGTCAGCAGAGAGAGAGGGACGGTTGGCTCCGGTCCGGCCTGAAAGGTCGGGCAGGTGCCTGCCCCTCGGGTGCGAGTTTACACGGTAAGGAACACTTCCCCGGTGGTGAGGTGTGTGGAGCCCCGGGAGGGATCCTGGTCTGGAGGTGGTTTATAGCTGGTACTCAATACTTAATTAAGGTCGTGAGGCCTAACGAGGACAGGGAACTCTAAGTCTCCTCTCTAGTTCTTTTGTTTGGCCCTCGAAGGTAATGTTTTACAAGCATCTGTAATGCTCGCTTAACAGTTGAATTATGATGGGCCAACGTGTGTGCGAGGTGTAATCTGTGGTGTATCTTTCTCTCTCCACCCACACCTCTCAAAAGCCAGAACTTATTTTGGAATACTGGCCCATAGAGACAGACGATTGGAACGCCTCCTTTAAGAGATCT